ATATCTGAAGTGATAAGAAATATAAAAGACTGAAAATGTGAAGGGAACTTAGAAAAGATAATAAAAGATGTGTGCGAAACTCGAACAACAAGAAATCAGGGAAGTTCTGCAATACATTTTGAATGAACACGACATCACACTACTACAGTTTGTGTGTAAGAAGTTCATGACTTTGTATAAAACGTTAATGGCAAACCCCGTGTTAAGTGCAAAGAAGTCAATTAGTCCAATAGAATACTACACATCAGCTAGACAACTCTTTCCGAGATCAACTCGGTTTGTTGTTCCATTCAACTTTGCGCTGTTAACCGATGCGGAATTATCAAAGTATGAAACATTTGAAATGACGAAGGACTTCAAACAGAGCGACCTTTCATACCACAAGAAGATTAATAAAGGTGTTATCATCACTAACTTCAAACAGGAATTCACAAATCTTGAATTTTTGTCACAGCGATTCTCATTGGAAGAGGTTAAACAGTTTTTAAAGTGGGTTGACAACTTCCCAAGTTTGCAATACGTGTGTTTTACTATTGGTGAAGATGTCATCAAAGAGCAACAACTTGTGATACAACTTGTGAACACATTGTTTGATAAAAACTCTGATATTGTGATATGTTTGTCTTATGAAATAGAACACGAAGAAGTCTTCAAACAAGTTGATTCACTCAGAAAAGCACTCCCACAGAATGTTTTGCATTATTACAATTTCGTCATTTTTGCACCAGAAGACCCAGACAAAGTCAAAGAAGAACACAACGAGAATAATGAAATTGATGTGCAAATTGCTTTTAAAATTCCAATGCTCCAAAACTTGGATGTCAAACACTTCGTTGATTTTTTGGGTAATGAGGAAGTTGCCAAAGAGTATGTAAAGTACTTTTACCCACTCGAAGTACATGGCGCAATTGCAGACATCGACTTCTCAAAGATAACAAGTCTCACCAAAATCGTTACAACCGCACAAAATTTTTCATTCAGCGCTCCAACTAGTTTGGTCGAGTTCGTTGATTTGAATGACGAACTCACTACTACCACAAAACGTGTGTTGACCAATTTAAATGAGTTGAAAATTGAGAGGATGAGAACACCTATGCAAACACTCATTCCAAACACCGTGACAAAACTCGAAATGCCATTTTGCTTCAATTTGACATGCCCAGCAAATTTGATTGAGTTGACTCTTGGTTCTGTCGACAAGAAAGACGTCATAATCTTCAATTCAACACTTCAGACTCTTGACATAGGAGACTACCCCAAAACACTCAACTTCCCAAAGTCACTCACAAAGCTCCGAGCAGAGTGGATCAAGGCTAAACTCAATAATGGTGTTAAAGAGATTGAGGTTTCTAAACTCAAAAAAATGGAATGTCAGTTCATTCCAGATTCGGTGACTCGCGTGAAAGTTGTCTCTGCAACGACATTCGACTTTTCAAAGCACACAAATTTGAAAGAGTTGGATGTCTGCGTCACTATTGCGAATTCGACATACAAGTTTGACAACTTTAGGGTTTCACCGAACCTCGAAAAGATGAATTTGTACATTATTGGGAAGGTTACTAAAAATAAGAAGCCCACATTTATGGAGAGTATTAGAAATAACTACCAGTGTGTGAAGAACCTAATTGTGGACGCAGACTTTAAGCAGATTCTTCCCAAAGAAGTTGAAATAGATTGATCGTTTTAATTGTTTAATTTATGCTTATTTACATGTTGTTTTTAACGTACAATCGTCTGAACGACATGTTGAAATTTTAAATGAATTTCGTTGTGAAATAAATGACAATCAATTGGAATTATACATGACTACTTTGGTTGATGGCGAAGTCGACAAAGTCACTTTATCTTTCGATTTGAGGTACACGGTTTTCACGTTTGGTGGGATATGAAACGATTTCTCTAAAGGTAAATAAAGAGAAAGAACCTCTGTGAAAGGAAACAAATTGGTATACGTGTTACCTGCAATTGTTGTAAAATGTTTTAAGTTTGGCATTGTGTTAAATGATAGATCAGAAGTATAAGAATCCAATGTCAAATACATAATTGAAGAAGGAAGATGAATTGTAGTCTTTCCACCAATTTGTTTTGCTTTGAAAAATGTAAGTGAAGAACAACTGACAAAGCTTACAGTTTTAGGAGTCAGCGTTGTAATAATAACAGACAGACTGATTAAATTAATGACCTTCGAGGAGAGAGAAATGAAATCAGTAAAGTTTTCTAAGTAAACAATTTCTTGTGTAAATACACTTGTTTTGTTACAATGACATATTTGAACAGTAAACAAGTGTTTTTTATACAACTTCATAAACATTAGATTTTGAAAGTCTTTAATAGACGCCTGTACTGCTTTTGTGTTGTGGAGTATTACACTTTCATTTAAAAACAATTGATAAAAGGAATTGGGTATAACTCTGTCTTCTTGATACATGAATGCAAGTTGTGCTCCTCTCAATGATTTTATATGTGCATATTGTGATATCACACCTTTGATATAAACAACTCTGTGAATAGAACCAAGTCTTTCTGGTGTTATATCTTTCATCGCATAGTCAAGTAAAGTGGTGTGACTCTTATTATCAAGTTCAAACCCCAAAATGATCCAACTCTTCAAGTTGCTCAATTCTGTAATAGGTACTATTTGGCATGATGCAACGTGTTTCAGTTTTTCCAAGTTAGTCATTCGATATAAATACCGTCTTGCATCAAACCCTGAGTTAATACTAATTTCTCTGATTGTCTCAAGGTGGTGTATATTCCCGAGGCATTTCGCTTCAAACTCGAAATTCACAGTAATTTTAAACACAAAATTAACATGTTCGTCTATCAAGTCTCGGACTTGAAAAATATTCCCACTCATTCTTTGTACATTGGAACATACCTTGAGTTCGTTCTCGGTTGTGACGCACATAACTTCCTTTGTCTTTGTGATCATCATATGAAATCTTTTTGAAACAAAGCACAACTCGATGATGTCCACAAATGGAAAGAATTGAATCACCTCTTTCATAAAGATGCAATTTAACTGAGACTTTCTTGATATGCCACAACGCGATATATCACCATTCTCTTTCTTTTCCATGTTACAAGTCTTCGCCAAAGGTAATAATTTCGACATCAATTTACAGTTCAATAACACCCTGATTCCTTTATTTCTCCAACGCCATTCAATTATTTCCATAAAATAAATACCAAACCCCAAAATGAAAAAATAAAACACTCAATTTAAAGACTGAAATCCCACGAATTATTCGTGACAGAGTCGTTCTTCATTTTCACTTCTTCAATGACCTCTTCATTCTTTGACACTAATTCTCCGGCCAATCCTCTAAATTCGCTCGGTAAGTCATATGGGTCGTATGTGCACAATGGGCAACTCACAAACACTGGTTCTTCAGCAAGAACATTCTCCGCCAGCACTTGTTCGATATCAACAAGTCCCTTCTCCTTACAGATTTGTACAAACATCCTCATCGTTTTTTGACTGCAGTTCCCAATAGGGTTAGACTTATCCACTATCATTTTCCTCACTATTTGGCCATTTCCAAACAGTTGCGCAACATTAGTCCCCACCAACAGCTCTTCGTGTTTCCTATTGAATATTCGAACAAACTGTTGGCACAACAAAATTTTGAGCATCACATTGTTCTCGCGTTCAAAAATCCGTCCTATTCTGTTCATCATTTCAAGAGTGACTACACTGTTCACCAGTGCAGAGTTACTCACAAACCCTCCCAAGTGACAGATGAAAAGCGCTCGATACAATTCAGAGATCCCTTCGGTTGAACTTCGAGCAGACAGAAACCCCGCAAAGAGGTTCGCACGCTCCTCCGTAGAGTTATAAATGAAATAAAGCACAGGCGTGTGTGTAAGGTACTTCGTTCGAACGATATAATTATCAAACGCCTCATAAAAGGCACCCTCAAGGCTTTGAGGAATATCTCTGATCCACCCCAAAACAAATTTAATTAAAGAGGCAAGCATTACACTGGTGTCGTTCTCTTCCATAGCAAACAAATCGTTTGACTTCTGTAGTTCCGAGTCGAAGAGGACTGTTCTTTCTATTGTCGCAATGAGTGCGAGTCGCGCGACTTCTGGGATTTGGGGTACTGAAGTCAAAAAGAACGATATGTAAGTAGTGAATTCCGGGACTTGTCTCCATCTGTTTGGGATCATATCGGTGAAGATCTGTGGGATGATTCGAGTGGAGAGCGGCACCAGTGTGATCAGTGTTTCAATGGCTTTGGTTATAATGGGGAAAACTTCGACGTTCTGGGGCAAAATGCGAGAAAATAAGGCAGTGACAATACCATGAGTGTAGATGGTATTAGACGTCACTAAATGGAGGAGTAGTGTGCAATATGTTTCATAGACTTGTTGGTTTGGAGGAAGAACCAAAGTATAAATGGTCTTGACCAACTCGTCGTGACATGGTTGGATGAGTGTGGTGCACTGAGTCAACGCTTGAACCCAGATTAAAACTTTTTGAGAAAATGGGGTGGCCAATTGTTTGACGAGAAAATTGTATTTTAAGGAGTCCTGAAGGGCTTTCAGTTGTACCGCTTCTCGGACTAACGTCACAGCACTCATTAATTCGCTTTGTTCAACGTTCAAAGTTGCAACCGACATTGTTTTGAAGTTTCCAGTTTTCTCTCCATAAGTAACCCTATTTGTTCTTATTTTAAGAATTGATGCTTTAAATAATGAATTTGTATTTTGTTTTATTATGAAAATAAAACTCCACCATTTTCATGGAAACAAGTGGGTGTTTGTATCGTAATAGAAATAGAATGATTTCTTTGAAAAGACACACAAATGGGTTTGAGTTTTGACTTTTTTGGGAATAATTAGTTTCTTTGTTTTCCTAAACCTCATTTGGCAGATAAACTCAATGTGAAAAAAAAAATAATTCTATCAATGATAATTATGATTATAGTAATAACAATAATATTTTATGTGTGTGTTAAATTTCACAATTGAAAAATGTTGAAAAAATGATAATTAATTAAAGATATAATTAAAATCTAATACAGAGTCACAATTGAATATGGTATATTTAATAGTAAATTTTATTTTACCGATTAATAAAAAAAAATTGAAAGGAATATCAATAAAACAATTTTATTTTGAATGAAGAAAGAAGTGTGTATGAACTTTTAAATCTGTGCATTATCAAATGTCAACGGAAGATAAGAAACTGACTATCGACCCAACAAACGTGTCATTCCACCGCCAAGAAACGAAGACATCTGAGACTCCAACAAACCCAAGCGAAGGACAAGAAGAGACTGGAGATGAAGTTGAATGTCCTGTGGATACTACACTTGAAAAGGAAGTGACTTTTAAAGCAAAAGAAGACATCCGTGTTATATTAAATAGTTTTATTAAAAGACCGAATTATTGGATATCTTCTGATGAGACTGTAATTGAAATTAAAGGTGGTGAATCGAAAGCGGTCAATTTTTATGGACGGGTGTTGAACTCGAGTCTTGAGCTAACTGTTGAAGTCCCGATCGTTGTATTTTACAAAGACAAAGGTACATGGGTGTTAGAGAACAATCAATATTCCCTGACCATATCTATTCTTCCACAGCTAGGTGGCTTTGTAGAGAATGGGGAATGCAGCAAAAATCGAAAAATCTATCTTGGCTTATACAATGAAATTTTTACAGGAAAGTATCGTTCTTTAGATGTCGCTATTAGTAGTGTGAAATCATTAGAAACACTTAAAAGGGATTTAGAAAATCAGATCAAAGCCGACCCCAAATCAGCAGACGAAAAAACTAAAGCAACACTAGAGACGTATAGAAAGAACATCGAGAGTGGAATGAACTACGATCCTAATTCAGTGAAGACGATGTCTGAGGAGTTCTTGATGGTTAAGAACTTACAACAGAAATTGATATCACCGTATATCTTAAACTTCATTGGCATGGTGAACACCCCAATCAGTGCGTTGACTGAAATGGCACCATTTGGCGATGTCGAACACTTCTATAGAGATTTTAGACTCACCGACACGTTGAAATACAAAATATTCCAAGACGTTTCAATGGGTCTTGCTGCTTGTCACAAAGTCGGTATTTTGCACTTGGATATGAAGCCGTCAAACATCTTTGTGTTCTCAACAAATCCGTTTGACTCCGTTGTCGCCAAAATTGCCGATTTTGGGACTGCGAAACGATCAAACTTGTTGAATGCGCTTGGGCTGAATTTGGTGTCCACACCCCTTTATTCGCCTCCCGAGTGTTCACTCATGTCGACACTTTATTCAAAGGATTTCTTGTTGTCAAGATACTTTGCGGACTGTGGGTATGAGGAGGACCAAGTGAAGGCGATTGTTGATCTTCGAAGTGAAGAGACGACAAAGGACGATGACACCACCGAAGTGAAGAAGAGTGAGTCTGACATTGAACAAGACAGAGCCAAAGCCGAACGGTTGAAACAGTCTATTTTGTATGAGAAGATGCACATTGGAGAGAAGATCGATATCTACTGCTTTGGGTTGACGTGCTTTGAGATCTGTGCAGAGCGTCCACTGACTTCGACAGAAGAAATCCGAATAGCGCCTTCTTCTGCGCAGATGGGTAAAGATGTGTTTTTAGAGGCCGTCAACGCATACAATTTCGATAAGAAATGCACATTTGCAGACAACTTCATTTCATTCAAGAAGCTCCCCAAAATTGGTGTCACCACTTTGCTGAAGAAATTGACGAACCCTACGGATGACACGTTGTGGAAGGAGTTGTCGAGTCTTAAAGTGTCATATGATGGGAAACAAAATGAGTCGCCTCTGTATATGGAGAAAAATGATTTTGAAAAAGCTAAGAAAATTGAAGAGAAGGTCAAAAGCACGTTGACCACATTAAATAATTACTTAGGAGCTATGATAAGTCCAATTAAAGAGGTGGTGAGTGGAGAGGTAGAGTTGTTACTCACCAGTAGTAAACTGACTATTGGCAAGTACGCAGGCATTGTGTATGACAAATTAAAGAAGTTAGAAAGGTTTGTCGATGTGTTTGATTGCCACGATGTAGCAAAGTTAGATGCTGGGACTGAAGGGTTTGAGTATGTCAACAAAACGTTTTCAAAGTTGAAAGACATCCCCAAAGATGTTGTTGCTTCAACTGAGACAAAATTACGAGAGATCCTCAGTGTGTTTGCAAAGGAAGATATTGACAACATAATACAGCATTTCATGTATGTGGTGAGATGCAAGACATCGATGTTCTATAAAACTATATTGGCTGATTTTGTGAAGCAACTCAACTTGAGGAAATTGATAGGGTTTCCCTTCACTATGAAGAGTCTTGGAGCGCCCGAGTGGTTCATTCAAATGGTGAAAAATATGGTTGACTCAAACCCTGCACGTCGTCCAACGGCTCTAATGTTAGCCGGAGAATTTAAGAAATACACAGCAGAAGTCTTTTTAGAGTATCAATTGCGGGAGAGTCGATTCAAAAGTATAATCGCCGAGTTTGAAAAGAAGGAGAAAGAGGTTGAGAACCTCCAGAAAAGTGGTAACTTAGAAGACTTGATCAAAGTGAAAGAGAGCAAGTTGGCAATCGAGAAAGAAAAATTGAGGTTGTTACTCCCAATGCGATGCGACGAGTTCGAGAATCAAAAGCGATGTTATGTGTACGACCAGAACATCACACAGAAGTATGGCGTGAGAGTCGAAAAATTACTCGTCCGACGCTCTAAGGAAGAGGTGAGCGATTTCAAAAAAGATAACTTCTTGCTGGGTATGAAGTTCTCTATCGCGCGCTTCGACAGTGTCATGAGATATGATCCAAAACACCCGGCAAAAAACTTAGGAAGAGTCAAAGCGGTGATGGATGTCATGTTTACCAAAAAGGATAATCCAATCCCCGAAGGTTATGAAGGAGTCGCCAAACAGTACGTCGAAGACTTCATCGCAAAAAGAGACGAAGAGACGTTTGCCAAACAAAAGGCTCGTGAAGAAAAAACTACAAAGAAGACAACAATGAAAAAGTGACCTTTTTTATTTTCTAAATGTTTACTACTCATTATAGTTAGTTATTATGAAACTTAAACTAGATCATTTACTATTTGAAAATTGTATTTTTATTACACTTTTTATATAGTTAAATTATAATTTGTTTAGTAGTATTCACACATTCAATTCTTATATAGTTAATAATAGTATTATAATTAGATAATAGTAATAAGAGAATTAAACAATCATTTTTAACTGAAAGCTATATACAAACACACTTACTTTAAAGATGTTAATAACCTTTTCCATAGTAAAAAGTTGTTGTGGAAATGTTTCACTAAAACCACAACATATAAATTATAATTTTACAAAGTAAACAAATCAGTGGCGTCTTTTAACTGTTGAACACCATCAACAATAATATCGCAGTCGTGATGTTCAAGTGTCGGGCCAGAAAGATATGGAGGTACGTCACTCCCTATGTTCAATGCAAAGCACTTTGCACCATCGTTCGTAAACGAAATATATGAAAGAAAGTTTTTGACAAGAGCAGTGTCATTTTGGTTAAAAAGGAAGTGAGAATTACTTTGTCGAACCAACACCAATAGTTGCAAACACGTGAGTGTGAGTATTTTTAAAAATTTTGTTTTGAAAGGAAACACGATGAATTTGTTTGAGTTGACACTTCTGAGTAATATTAACACACTTTGGAGGATAATCTGAAGGTGATGTATCACGTCTTCTTTGATAGGGTTTTGTATTAAGATAAAGTAGATGAAATCCACCGTTTGTGTCCCAATGACCAAATGGTCGATAAATTTCTTCGACATTTCAACACGCTCACAACACACTTCAAACCCATTTTCACTTTTCTGGAGTAGACCCAAAACAATTTGGTCCACATTTTGAGTGATAAACGGATGGATATAAATTCCAATCGCAATATACACAGAAAACACTCGCTTGGAACCAGTTAAAAAATAAAACGGTGTTGGGTATGAAAAGCGGAGTAAATTGAAGACAAAGGCAAACGACTTCGTTTCAAATGAATTGATGAACAAGCGCATCACATCTTGTGTCAGTAGCTTCCCCATATCAAATTGTGTACTTTCCTTTGCTTCAAGCACCCTTGATGGGATATAGTGATAGAGTGTTTGTATTAACTCTTCGCCATATAACGAATATTTCTCTTTACTTGATATCAACGATGTTATATACACATCACTGCGTTCGAAGAACTTCTGTACTAAGACGTCTGGAATTTCATGAACATGTTGTGACATCAATTTAATAATAAAAAGTGCATCATTAACAAAGCAAGTAGTTTCCTCGGTCGCTTTAATTTTCTCGAGCACGAACAATATACGAATCAAATTTTCGATTTCGAAGGCGAGAAAATAGAGCGAGTAATCCATTAGAAACTCATTTTGTAATTCGTGCGGCAATTTCACGTTCATAAAAAGTTTGCTGCACCTCCGAACAAACAACTTTAAATTGGTGATATAATATGTGTGAACGAAGAGCAACACTCTTTTCAGTAACGTGTCGACCTTTCCATTCTCAAAGTATAACATTTTCACATAAAATTTAAACGAATTGATTTCTGTTTGTTGCGCATCGTTTTGTTTCTGAGTTTCAGGGAATGGCAATGGCTTTGGAGGGAATAATAAAACACCTTTTGTGTATTTCTCGGGCAAGTCTTTCTCCGAGACAGTCTCTCCATATTCCAATAACACATATACCAAAGTGTTAAATATGGCACAGACATTAATAGGAGAGAGCTCGAGAGATACTGGGAATAACACGTGTGACTCAAAATGATTGATTAGAATAGTTATAAACAACACAAGACCCCCTTTTAAATGGATCGAATAACACAGTCGACCCAACGCAACTATGTACTCTCGTTGGTGAATTTCGTCACTTCTAAGTTGGACGACTTTGCATTGCAAATCGTCAGAAGAAGTATTAAAAACATCAAAAGTATTAAATAATGTGTTTCCTTGAAAATCAAATAACTCGCTCAAGACGTCGAGAATGTCAAATTTCTCGTAGAAAAGGGAACTTGTGATGATCACTTGAAGCATCTTCAAACTCACAACGCTTCTTTCTTTTATCAAACACGACACTGACACCTTCACTTTCATTTTTATCTTCTCGGAACAAGACGTAAGAAACAAGTCGAATATCGACGACAGCGTTTGTGCGTTTGTCCTTTCAACGTTCTTTCTTAAAAACACAATAAAGTCATCAAAAGTGCCTTTAACAACGACCTTCGGCTCTTTCCTTTCGATCTGCTCAATAACCTCCTCAAAACGGGGTGGTTGTTGCATTTTAATAGTTTTCAAGTTAGTTTCCAGTTTGTTTCCAATGATTGAAGAGTTTTGTGTTCCAAACTTTTTAAAAAAATTTTAAAAAATTTCACCCAGCCACAATTAAAAACGAGAAAATACAATACACCTCACTTTTTTATTTCACTTTTCATAAACAATTTTTTGATGGTCCCAATTTTCTTGTCTTTAATTGGACTGATTTCATGGCTTTTTGCTTTAATGCTTTGTTCGCTCTTTTTCTCTTTGTCTGTGATTCTCTCGTTGTCCAGTGAAGACACGGACTTCTCAGAGTCTTTCATTGCAATGTTAGTTGCTGCTTCGTCGCAATGTGGTGGGTTTGAGTTCGGTCTTTTGCTCTCATCTACACTTTCCTTGTCTTGGAGGGATCGCAGAGCGCACGCCTTATTTTCCTCCTCTATTTTTTTTGCTTTGTATTCGGTAATGAGTTTTTTTACTTGTTCGGTGTCTTTTTCATTCAGTCCCATATAAGTAATTTCGTCGGACGTCATCTCCAAAATGTACTCAATTTCACAATACCCATAACTGATAAAAAGGTCAGTAAATTGTTTTAAGCCGCCACCAGACAAAAAGTGTGAGATGACTTCGATTGGGTTGTTTTGGTATTCGGTTGGTCTCAGTTTTTCGAGTTCTTCGCCATTAAAGAGGTTCTTAAGTTCGGGCAGAAAGGTGACAATGTACCCAATGATAGAGTCAATGTACTCGTCGTAATTTAACTGAATAAGTTCTTGTGGCAGCCCTGGAAACTCCTTTAAACCGATTTTGTGCTTGAGTAACGAGTAAAGCCGGCGAGTTTCTTTTTTGTCACTCAATTTGGAACTAACAACAATGCCAACTGGGGCTGTGACTTGTTTGATGTATTTTGTTTTGTGGAGCGGCGACGAGGAAAATACATTTGAAACGGAAACTGCAGGATTGACTAACACTACTCCAGCTATTGGTAGATCTTTCCTGTTTTTATAAGCCAAAAATAAAGTCGGTTCACAACCAGCACCAACTCCAAAGAGTATTATAGAAGTTGATGGGACGTTTAACATGTCGATGATGTATTCAAACACTTTTGTAATGGTTTCTGCAGTTAATGAGTCTGAATATTTGTCTGTTGAGTCGTCACTAAATCCCGGAAATTCATAAGCGATGATATTACAGTGGAGCAGCATAGCCATTTCAACCAATGATTGGTGAATTTGGTCCAACTGTTCTGTGGAGTCGTGACTGTACAATAAAACGCTACGTATTCTTGATGTTATTTGTTATTAACTTTTTTCAAAATACAACTGAAAAGTGTGACCACAAACTTTTTATCTGGGTGGTTGATTACTAAGGCGGGGATGTGGTCATTGATTTTAACAAATTGTGGGAGTGACTGGCACGTACTTGGTCTGCGCCTCTTTTTCATTGTCTTTGCACCACTTTTAAGTGAAATTGAGGAGAGTTTGTTTGGGTCCATTTCGTTTTTCAGTTCTCGGTCTTTTTGACATTTTTCAAACAAAAAACAAAATTTAGTAAGTTAGTTTTATACTAAGTTGAAAATGAGTTTTATGTAGTTCATAATTAGAGTTGTTTATTTTATTTTTTTTGTATAAAAAAATAAAAAGCCTTCAACATTTTTATGACGATTAACGTTTAAAATAATGCCTAAAGTCAGTCCAGTAACCTTATTTATTTGGTCAAACTTATTTATCGATTGCGATTTGGTTGATTTTTTTTTCTTTCTTTCAGCCCAAAAAATATGTGCAAAAACAAAAAAAATCATATATTCGATTATTCACAATTCAGTACAAAAAACAAAGAAGTGATGCTTATTTACATTAACAAATAAAACGATTGATATGGTACATGATGTAAATAAAAAATGATGTCGATATGTGTAAAAACATGTTGACGAACATGCATTAAACGAACGAATATGTTAATGAATCAATAAACTGTAACTGGAAATACAAAACAACGAAAATCAGAGAAAGAAAATGCGTTTTGAGCGTCGAAAAAAGAAATTATTGTTGTTTAAAACAGCCAGTTCACCGAGTTAATGTTTTATCAAAGAACTTTTAAACTTGGCTCGATATTTGTTAGCAACATTTTCCTGTTTTTTTGTTCAAAATTATTACCAAATCAACAGTATTTATTTACTTTTAGATGTTCAAAATTGATTGGTCAAATAGTCTAAACCTTACTTATGTTATTAATTGTGTTATTAGTTATTTAGTTTCTGAATGATTATATTAATTATAATATTTTTTGTAATTAAATTTTTCCCGTTAGTTGGGAACATTTTCATCTAAAAACGACTTTAAAAAATAAAATGTTTTTACCGACTGACTGTACTGGATTAATTATAATTATTATTATAATTAATCCAGGTTGAAAAAAATAAAAGATGCTATTTTATTTTATTTCCATTAATGTATTAGTTTTTTGATTTAATTGATTAAACTACTTAAAAGAAAATGATATTTATTTTTATTGTTATTATAATAAACAAATTATTGTATTATAAAATTTAATACAATTCAATAATTCCAAGATAGAGTAATTGAGAAATAACAAAAATCAAGATTTACAGTTCACAATAACCATAAATTAATTTTAAGTTATTAAAAACCAAATTTTGATACTTGAAATAATGCAGACTGCACAATAAAAATGAAATTTATGTTTTATATATTGTCATTCATTCCAAAACACCTCTGAAATAACAGAAAATCATTTTGTTTTTAGAACAATAAAGCTTTCCAAAATGAAGCAAATTTTATGTTTGTTTAAAAAATATTTTTTTATGGTTATTATTTTATATTTAATAACTAAATAGAATGGAATATCTAATAGAAATCAACTTTTTTAAATTTTGGAATAATATAATAAATGTATTACATTTTATAATAACAAAGAATTATAAATATAATACATTACAGTTTTTTGATTACTACACTAAATTATTTAATTCATTCAAATTTTTATTGTATTTTTTGTAGTTTATTAATTCTTCAATATATTCTATTTATTTAAAATCCCACAAAAACAAGTAACAAATGTCAGAAATTAAATAAAATAAAGTTTACACAATTTACAAAAGAAATAAATAAAAACTAAAAGAATACTTTACATATAGAAAAATGACTAAAGTTAGTATTTTTTTTGTAATAATTATTACAATATTATTCTTTTTGTACTTCTTTCTTTTAAATAAGCTGTTATTTTTCTTCTTCACCTTAAAAAAAAGAAGTACAAAAAGAACAACATTAAGAATTTTTAAATTGTTGGGTTTGTTTTATGATGCTAATTTCTAAAACAAAATAAACCTCTAACTTATATGTTAATTGACTAAAAATTGCTCCACTCAGTTCTGTTTATGGTAAATTGTAATTAGAATTAACTATAATTATTAACAAAGGTATTATAAATTATAATAATAAAGCCAACTTAAGGTTTTATTAAAACGTGCTGGTCTTACCATAAATCAATGCAGAAAAATCTCAACAACAGGTAAAAGCAGTTTTAGGCGAGAAAAAAACTGTAACTCGAAAATTTTGTAAACAGTAATATAAAACAATTATTAATAAAGGGAAAACCGTCATTATCCAAATAACTTCCCAAAAAGTCGTCGTTCTCATGCACTTTTTGGCAAAAAAATGGATAATATTATACAACATAATAATAATGAACCAAAGTGAATAGTTTCTCATTATAGCCAGTGCCAAAAGACGGAACAAAAAAAATAAAAAAGACGAAAGAGATGTAATTTTTTAAGGCTAAAACCCCCGATTTTTTACACTTGAAAGATGCAAATTATTTTTCAAGAAAAAGCAACTAAAAAAAAAAGTACCAATAGGAACTTAAAACCCTGCAGAAGTATAAATAGCTAGACAACTGGAATTAGCAAATCATTTGAATTGGATGTCTAATTCAATGCCTTCACGTTTTGGCGTTGTACAGACGGAGCATAACACCTCCGGAAATCCATGGAACCTTTTGCCCTCGGCGTATCGGGCATCGTTTTCGAAAAACCAAACAAACATCCACATCGGCACACCCAAAGACGCAATTCACTGGTCGTCCTCGGACCCCACACAAAAGTACGTCTTTGTAAATGAAAAACAGTTTGAGCGTATAATGAAAAGGAGAAAGGAGCGCGAGGATTTATACGGCCAATTTGGCTTCCAATCGGCCTCTTCCAAACCGCGTAAAGTTTGTTGTCTTTGTCAGAATTTTACTTTTTTCTCGCGGTATAAAGCTTCGGCTATTTCGCAACATATGTCAAAAACTCAATCTCATCTATTTGTGAAAACATGAGTTTTGTTTTATCACTATATCTAATAACAAATTTTATTATATTTGTGGAATTCTTATTGATTGAAATTGTCTTGGATTGAGCGATGAAAAACGAGACAGCATTTAATGCGCAATAATAACAGAAATAACACCAAGTTCAAGTACGAATCGAGACACAGGCACGCAGTGAATAGACAACGTGGCGACGGCGGAAGATTTTGTAGCAAAAAGAAGTCGGAAGTCAACACCTCGACAATCTCAGCAGCGTCTCCCCAACAAAACGAGATTCTTGCTGCTTCAGACACGTCACAAATATCGCCAATTGCTGTTTCTGCGCCTCAGATATCACAAACTATCCTCGACTTCAGTACAGCGAATGCTTTCCAATTCAATTAAATTCAGCACATCCATTTGAATCTACTACTTTGTTGTTTTTATTGTCAAAGTTGTAGCACATGTTTATCTTTAAAAACTTAATACAATAGACTTAATTAGTCGAATGTTACTTTGTAGTTATTATTATTATAAAATATATTTGTAAATTTTACTAAATAGGTTTTATAAAACAAAAAAATTGCAATTTTTATTTTTTTGTTATTATATTTTTCATTTATTACAAATGTTTTAAATAAAACACTTTTTTAAATTTAAAGAAAAATAAAAAACATTCGTTAGTAAATATCACTCAATTTCAAAACAGTACTATTCGATGAATAAATATAAAATGAACAAAGTATATACTGATTGATGTCTCCATCATTAGTTAAATCTATTTCTTAGTCAACATGTAGTTTATTTTACGTTGTTATTATTTAATTTAATAATTTTTAAAACTATTAAGAATTATATTAGTATATTATTATTATTTTAACAAAAAAAAAATATAGATGTTCAAATTTTTTTTTAATTTGCAGAAATAAACAAAATAACACGTTTTTTTTACGAAAGACACATTTCATTTTGTAAAACATTTTGTTTTTTATCCCAAAACTTAATTGTTTTGGCTTTTTTAAAAAATGATTAACTATAAATATATAATAAATAATTATATTTGTTTAACAAAGAACCAAAGATTTATTTTATAAATACATTGAAGATAATATATAATTAGTAAATTACTAGTAAAAACAATGAAAATAAATTTTTTTTCGAGAAATTGACAACACAAAAGTTTTTGACTAAAAAACAAAGAAAAAAAAATTTCAGGGTGACTTTGTGATATGAGTAAAGTCAAAGTGATGACTTTGTTTTCATGAAGATAAAATGGCTCGTACAAAACTAAAAGAGCAAAAATGTCACACGACGAAGCTATAACCACATCGGACGAAATGGGACAGATCGACTTGCGAGTTTTCCAGTTATCGATTCAACTTCCGGACATAATTGATCAATTCCGCACTGTACTCACTCAAATGAAGACCTCTGATATATCCCTTGAAGATGGGACACGGAAGTACACTGACTTCATCAACGCGATCATTCAAAATGCGTTTACTCCCGAGGTACAACAAATAGCGGCCAACCAGAAGAAACAGAAGCAACAGAAAGAAGTGAACAACGTTCTCAATGAAGTCATAACAACTGAAGAAGAGTTTATGAACTGTATGGTCACGTATTTGAAGAACTACGGGAGGATTCTGATGAAATCCAAAACGGTAGGGGTCCACGTGAAAAACATTGAAATTGTAGTTTTGAAGATCGTCGCGTTATCAGAGAAGCTTGTGAAGATCCTTCGCAACAAGGACTATGAGAAATTGTTTGATTGTGTGAAGGACTTATCGATATATAGTAATTACTGCATCTTCTACGAGAGAGTCGTGAATTTGTTGCCAAAAGCACGAAAGGAGATTCCAGAGATCGATTTGGTGACTAAGAACCCTGAGGTGAAAGGACTGAATGTCATGGACTACTTAATTAAGCCAGTGCAACACATCACAAAGTACCCACTCTTTTTAAACACTCTCAAGAACTTAATGGATGGAGCGCAGAAGAAATTGGTCGAGCGATTGTTCGACGAAGTGTATGATGTGCTGTTAGATAACAACTCCACACAGAAGTATTTTAATTCGGAGAGTGAGAAGGAGGCGCTTCTTCCTAAATTGAAGTGGAAGACGGATGAAGTTGATTTGAATAATGAATTCTTCATGTTGAAAGTGTCTGTGAAGGCATTGACACTGATTGAGAAGTGTGCGTACTTCCCAATGAAGGACGTCAACTTTGGGGTTTTGTTCTCACGACATGTAGTATTTGGGAAGGAAAAAGGGTCGAAGATATACATCGAAAAGGTGTTAAATAACATCGAGTCGTTTGAATCCTTTGACGATCACTTAATTCTTCAAACCGCAGACTCTACGGTGTCCCTCTCATTTAACGAAAAAGGCGATTTACAAATGTTTAACATTAAAATAAAGGAGTACCTCGACTCAGTCTCTCCTAATTTACGATTGCGTCTAACTCAATCACCATCAGTCGAAAACCTTCTCAGCATTAACAGACAAAGAAGGCCGTCTGAGGCAGGTGTGGAACAACACATCAAACTGTCACCAGACTGTTCGCCCCGCGAAATCGAAAAGAGAAAAAAGGTCGTAAAGCAACTCCACAGAACGTTAACGTCCACAGCGACACATCGGCCAAATATCTCGATGTTTTGATTGCTGAATTGAGTAGTTTGTCTGTGTGTCTATTCGCGTCAAGTAACGAGTATGGTTGATAATAGTTTATTTTTAATTTGTTTTAAATTTATTCATTTGTTTAATTATTGTCAAGCGTTTCCAAAATAATTATTGCCGAAAATGTGGTATTATAACGTACAAATTTATAAGAAAAAATGTTCATTTTGGTTAAATAATGGTGACGTGGGTATTAGGATTGTGATTTTGGAAACCTCTGATTGTTGTATTTTTACCTATAAATACTATTAACTATTAAAAAATAAATTATGATTTTTTTAATGGTTCAATTTATATGTCTCTTAATTTTTTTTTCCATCATTTTCAATTACAGTAATAAAAATAATAGTATAAGTAACTGAAACTATTATTAATGTTAATATTATTTGAGTTATAAATTTTGCATTAAATACATTATTCCCAAAAGAATGTAAGAAATAAGTGTGTTGTTTGAACATAAAAAGATATTATTGTATTATTTTAATGATACTATTTATTTGTGATAAAAAAGTAATAGCATTTGTAGGGGTTTTTGAATTTAATGTTAAGTGATATCAATAATAACTTATCATTATTTTTTGTTTTGATTTGATAAAGTTTTGTGTTAATGGGTGCAAAACCATTTTTTCAGGGAGATTTTTAGTGATTGAGGAGTTTTTTGGGAAAGAAACAACGGGTATTAACTTGATTTTTGTTTTTTGTTTCAACTTCCAAATACCAAGATAAAAAGACTTGAAGATACCCATAACTGCAACAAATTATGAATAATTAAAAAATATTAAAAAAATATTAAAAAAATATAACAAATCAGTTATAAAACTCTAATTTGAGAAAATGAAATTTAGAAATGGGATAGAGCTATGTTAATTGAAAAATGTAAATTGTAAAAAAATTCGGTTTTTCTATTTGAAAAAAAAAGTGTCAAATAAGAAATGTGGCTTCAAAACTATTTTTAAAAATACACAACAACATGTTAAAACTGCCAATTTTTGATCACTTTCTTTGTGTAATAGTTTAAAATATTATTCCAAATTATACTTAACAATGTATTGTGGACATGAAAATAATTAAATAATTAATTAAAATGGAAGACAGCAAGTCTAAAACGAATCTCCTTGGCAGACTTGGATAAAGTTAACCTCTTTCAAAATAGATGCCAAAAGACAGATGTTAAAATTATATGTATAATTGAAGAAAAGTCTTTCAACCAAAATTTACTTTAAACCAAATCGTAACAAATATCAACATTACAAGTATTAGATTTTACTCGCAGACGCGACGTGATGATCAGATGATTTGATCCAATAGTACAGTGTTGACGCACACAAATCTTTATAGTCTGGTTGCTTCTGTAGAAGTCTGATAGCTTTAGAAAGTCCAAGTTCTTGACCAACGAGCACAGCACGCTGTCTAACATCTTTGGACCATCTCTTTCTTTTGGGTGACTTTTTCTCTTCGACGACATTGAGTGTAGTTGAAACAGTTTCATTTGAAAGTGTAGGCGAGCTGGGAACACCAAATCCAATAACAACTTCATAGAAGTCTTTTCTGCAAGGAGTGAACATGCTCTTAGCCATTTGGAATGACTTCAATCAGTTCAAAATGAGTTTATATAGTGTGGATATATAATTAACTCTTTTGAATTTTTTGAAAAAAAAAGAGGTGCAAACCCCCTCTTGAACTGTCTCCAAGCAGCAAAAATCCTGAAATCCTTTACACTCCCCATTTCTGTGCCTCACTTTCCCTCATATCTATATTTTTTTAAAAGACGGAGATTCTCCTCTTTTCTTAGCTATGTTGATTTTTCACAATTCCCATTTTGTTGTTAATTTTTAAAAAACACTTTCCGCATTTCTTCTTTATTTTTTCTTGATAATTTTAATTTCCCATTTTGTTTGAATTATTTTGATTAATATAAAAAACACTATCACCATATATTTGAAAATGCCCTTACTTTTTTCCTTGTAGTCTTTCAAACGTTTTGTCTTCGTTTTTTGAACTTTTCAACCTTTTTTAAAAAGGTTTGTTTGAAACAATATTTTAACAGAGAGCCCGCCCAAGTAAATATGTATTTCCCTAATATTTATCCTCCAAGTTTGTTCGTTCTCATCTTTAAAAATTAAACAGTTGTTAATAAGTTGAAAACCAATCAGAAGCTATTAATTTACCATTTCAAAAATAATTCAATACTTCCCCAAATGAAAAACTCTTCACTTTTTTCAACCTCCATCTCTTTGCACAAACATGGAAAGAAGTACATTTCGAAAAGCAAATTATTTTAGGACAGTTTTATAACGGTAATGTTGTTCGATAAAAAGCGGGTGAAATACAATATAAGACTTCCGTTAAGCATTTTAATTCCATTTGATTAAATATAATTAAATTTTTATATCCCGAAAATATATCATTTTATTTATTTTTTATTTTTGTTATGCATAAAAAATCATAACAATTTAATTAAAAGTATTATTATTTTAATTATAGCTTTTATCTAAAACCATTTACTTATTTAAACTAAATAAAAATGGTATTAAATTAATAGTTCTAAATTATAATTACAATCATAACCATTAAATAAACAATTTTCAAATTATAGTTTAGTTAAAAAAAAATGTTGATTTTGTTGATTGTATGAATTCTTCATTTCAATCAACAACATTTTTCAAATTGATTGTTAAATTAATTTGAAATTCAATGAAATTTTTTTAAACAGAAGAATTTAAAAATTGTTTTTTTACAATTGAAATAATTTGTTTAGTTATTTTAATTGAATTTTTAAATTAAAAAAATTGTGAATCAAATCATTCGCAAAAGTCACTTTTTTTATTTCGAAAATACACACAAACCTTCAATTATGAAAATGAGTTAATTCAATATAACTTAAGTTCGTATTTCTGCTTCTGTTTCTTCCATCCTGGCAGAGCTTCAAACTCGGGTCTTGTCATTTTGAATAATTTGATGAATTCTTCGTCGCTCAAGTAATCTTCGAGTCGTGATTTATCAAGTTCTTTAGGGTATCGTTTGTGCAACAAATCGTCGTACGAGTACTTCGAAGACAATTTCATCAATTCGTCATGGCAGTCCTTAATATTATCCCTCACTGAAACCACTTGTTTTGCTGCTATTCTCCACCCGTGGAAGTAATTCGTAAACACAAAAGGCTCCTTTCCGTCCTGTACTATATAACACTTTCTTTTGTTACGCTCTTCCTCTTTCGATCGAGCAATATACTCCCCCACTGTCTCCATCGAAAACTTCTTGTCAATTTCGGAAATGTTTTTGCCCACCCACAAATAACTCACGTCGTAGCAATCCAACAACATTCCTGATTTCTTCTCCAAGTCGTCTTGATACCAGTCAGTCACTTCTTCAACACCAAAGACTCCGGTTTTAGATGACATTTCAAACAGTCGATTGCGCCACATCAAAACTCGCGGCTCGACGGAACGCTTCCCGCCCAACGCTTTCCAAAACTCAGCGCTCTCCTTTCCTTCGTCGTACTCAATCACTTCATTGCGCTTCACATCAGCGTACTCTTTCACCAAATTTCTCGCATATGTCAATTCAGCAGTGTTTGTTAATTTGCCCTTCCAGATATATGCCTTTGTCTCTGTCGTGATCAAAAAGACGGCTTCGGAAGTGAGTCTGTCCTCACACATCTTCCACTCAATTTCAACTGCTTTCACTTTGTCTAAATTCACTCCACACCTTCTAATGTCAAACACAAGTTTTTTACTCGCTTTTGTGTTTGTCAAGATATCAGTCTCCCACACCCGCTTACCCTTAGTCTCCAACTTAGCAACAGGATCCTTCCCAAGTCTGACCACAAACTTCGAGAATATGCTCAAGAAGTGGGTCGTCTCCGTGTTTTGTGCCACTCGAAACTCCTTCCCTTCGTCTTTGAGTGTCATGTGTAAATCAACAGTCAAACGCGCACAAGCTCCTTTATCAAGTGTTGGACAATTTCTCCCTTGCCAGAAATACAAAATGTGGAAGTCGGTGTTCCATTTGACGTATGTGTATTGCACTATGTAACTCTCACTCTCAAAAAACTCTCCCTCCTCTGTTATATCGACTCGGTTGAACTCTTCAATACGCCAGATCTTCTTCTTTCCGTCTGCGTTGTCGATGTAGACCTCCTTCCTCACTGGAATCTCTTTACTCAACATCATCGTATAGTCCACAGCACTCCCTCTTGATATCGGCGTGTCATCAAATTCCCAGCTTTTCAGCTTCTTTGGCGCTTCCAAAAAGTCGCAGAAGCGCTCTTTGAACATGACTTGCTCATACCCTGGAAACTCAAAGAAAAGTGGTGCAATCCAGACCTCCTTCCTTCGCTCTAAATATCTCTTTTGACAGTCTTGGATGTATTGTTGTCTTCGGTCTTTCGCTAATCTTCCTCCAACCCACATGTACATCTCACTATAGCAATCAAGTATGTAACAGCTGTTTGTCTCCAACGATGTTTTCGATATGTCCTTCCCGTCGTAACTCCATCTCTCAATATCAACTTTCTCTTTCAATCCGTCCCACCAATATTTGTATAACGTGACGTACTTCATTTGCGCTTGTTCTATCAAAACGTCGTCGCCGCCCTCTTCACTACTGCGAATGTTCCCCGTAGGCTTCCCAAATTCAAACCAAAATTCGTTGGACTCTTTCCCTTCATCTTCCGTTTGTATCTTCGCACCATTCCGCTCTAATGCAATAAATTTCGCTAAATTGGCTGCTTTGCCCTTCTCCATCGTGTTCGAGTCCTTACCTAGCCACACGTAAATGGTCTTTGCTCCTTTTCCAGGGTCAAACAAAAACGCGTCGCCCGAGTTCAACGACATCCAAGAACACTCCACTAACCTCGCAAAGGGTTTCTTCTTTCCTTTGACATGGATGAGTCGCTTCAAATCTCTTGCGTTGCCTTTCTCTATAGTCGCCAATTTTTTGCGCTGAAAGAGCAAGTCCTCCGCAACAACTTGGTGCACTGCTTTCGCTGTTTTCTCGGCAAGTTGTGAGGTGTTCCCAATTGCGACTTTCTGTGCTTTAAACACGTCCGTACTATCTTTCCCTTTTTGTCGCTTCACATTGCGGAATTTGATATTCATCGTTTTCACTTCTTTGTTGTCGACTAACTGCTTCCAGTCGTTTTTGTCCTCCTTTGTATCAACGTGTTGTCCACCTTGGTTCTTCTCTTCTTTTTTATTATCATTGTTCTTGTCTGGAGTAATACATGCCACTGTCATCTGTTCTTTTGGTGCGACGTCCTCAATGATTTCTTCACTAATGATCTCCTCAATGACTTGAAGCTTTTGTTTGTTATTGACAACCTTTGGAACAACTATTTCAATGTCATTCTTGTGTATTGGCGGCCTCTCCACTCTTCCTTCCAAGTTCACCTTGTCTTTCTCCCATCGTTCGTGCTCTTTATTTTGTTGGAATTCCTTTTCAATTTCTTCTCTCCCACTTGGCGTCAATGAACGCGAATGACTCACTTCTACTGAAATAATTCCACTTTGTCGAACAGCACCTTTCACATCTTCTTTCACTTTTGGCGTTTTCTGTCTCTCAACCTGTAACCGACTTAAGTCCAAATTTTCTTTGACTCCATTTTTGGTCTCTTTGACGAACTCACTATGACACGCATTCGGCGCTTCAACTTCAACAATTTCTTCTTTTTTGGCTTCGACGGCGTCGACAACCTTTTTAAGAGGTAATCGATGGTACTCACTCCGCACATCTTCTTTGATCTTTATTGACTTCACTCGCTTTTTATCCAACTTGAACTTTGTCGCACTTTCCTTTCTTTGATGTGCCGACTTGGCTATTTCAATCACAGTCTGACACTCCCGAGGAGCTTCAACATCTCTTCGAATTCCACTCTTTTTCACATCACCACCAACATCTTCTCTTACTTTCTCACTCCTGACATTTTCATCTTCTTTCTCAATTCTCGCCTTTGAACCAATTTCTTTTAACATTGTAACATTGAGCTCTTTGAGTTCAATTGGTTCGACTTCGCACACTTCGGGTACCTCTATTTCGATCATTTCCTTCTTGTCTATTTTTTCGGCTTCAGCGTCTGCTTCTCTTAAAAACGGTGACACTGATTTGATGACTTCATTATCGTCTTCAACATCACTTCGTTCGGCGTCCGAGGACGACTTCTTTTCACCATACTCACTCGTTCGTGGCGTCGCAGATGCACATCGTGGTGTGATTTCTCTCACAAACTGATCTTCTGGATCAAATCGCGTGTCTTCTGCTAAGTCATCGAGCATTTCTTTTAACATGTCCTCGTACATCTTGTTGTCGTCTTTCTTCTCTTCCCCGAGTAATTTCCTTTGTTCGTCGTCATCATTGTCCACAAAGTACTCATTGAACAGTGCAAACTCCGCGCCTTGAATGACAAACTCAAGTTTGTCTTTCCTTCTCATTGACGATTCAAGTATCTCTTCTGCTTTCAACACAGCAATAGTTCGTTCCGTTGGAGTCGCATCTTTGCCGTACCAGACATATACCAACACTCCAGTATCCAACACAACCGTCGTGTTACTATTCAATTGTGTTTTATTCGGTCGCCCAGGTACCAACAAGATCTGTGGCCCATGTCGTTGGATGGCAATGACAAAGACTTTGATTGTATCAGTGATTCTCTGAATAACGTCTTTTGCTTTATAAATATTTCTGATGTAATTCGTCTGGAAAAATTGGTTGAAAGGCTTCAGCAAATCGTCCGTTTTCATCTTCCGCATCTTTTTCTCGTTACAGTCGATGAAGTCGACTTTACTCACGCCAATCTCCTTCTTCATTGCTGCAACAAGTTTGTCACATTTCTGTCGTCGACTTTTATTGCACTCCTTCCCGTAAAACACTGTCAGACTCTTCCCTGTGTCAAACAGATAGGCATCTCCTCTATATATGGAGACAGTCACTTTCTTCCCATCGCCTCTTTCAAACGGCACAAAAGCAGCCCACGTCGCATTGCCTTCACCAAACACTCGAATGAGCAGTCTTCTTGGTGGCGCAGGTTCAAAGGTTCTTGCCTTAGTCTCAAGTTGGAGTTGCTTCTGAATCTCTACAGACGCCTTTCTCCGGTCGTACTTCGATTGCACCTTCTTGTCAGAAAGTGCCACAGTCTGGACTTCTCCTCCCCCACTGATGTGTTCCATGATATCTTGCAAACTCGGCTTAGTATCATAAAACTCTCCCAAGTCATTCTTCTCCACATCAAGTACTTGCAGAGACGGTAACATCGTCATCCCTTTTGGTAAACTCCTCAAGACATTACTTGACAGTGTCAACTCCTTCAGTGCAATCAACTCAGAGATGTCATTGGGGACTTCGGACAAATTGTTGCTGTCCAAATACAGTTTGACCAACGGACACTTGAATACTATTTTGGGGATGACGTCAAACTCGTTGTCGGCAACATCCAAGTGCGTCAGCCCACTCTTGTCAAGAAGGGGCAAGTTCTTCAGCTTGTTTCCGTACAATATCAGTTGTTTGAGAGACTTCAAGCGACTCATCGTTGGGGGTAAAGAGACCAACTGGTTTTTGGCCAAGGAAAGATATGTGAGACCAATACAGTCGCCAATGGTGTCTGGAATTTCGACGATCTCGTTTTCGGAAAAATTCAGTTTAAAAACGGGAAGACAGTTAATCAGTGGCGTGATGTGTTTCAGTTTGTTGCCTTCGTAATTTAAAATGAGCAGTGACGTGTTACTAACAATGACGGCATCATCAACTGTCTCTAACTCGTTTTTGCTCACATCCAAATTGGTCAAGAGATGGATTTGAGAGAGAACGTTGATACTTGACAGTGTGTTGTGGTTCAGGTTGAGCTGAACTAATGACGTGTAGTTTTTGACCGAAATGGGGAGTTCAGTCAGAAACTGGTTCGAAAGGTCCAAGTTCGTCTTGGGAGGCCCTTTCTGTGGCTGTTTGGAGGTATCGTTTCCCATTTGGATTTTCAAGTTCCAAAACAACAAAGAAAGTCAATTAATTTTCCGATACTCGTAATAGTCACCAACACCATCAATGGCTTCATTCACAACGCCGTAACCCATGAGCTCAATCTGTATTTCTTCTTCTGTTTTTGTTTGAAGAAGTGATACTATTTTGTGGATAAAAGCACCACAAAGACAAAAAGAAAAGTCATCATCGCTGCTCAAAATTAGACCATAAATGGAGTTGTTTTGGAGTAACACCCCTCCACTCATTCCCTCTGAGACACAACCTTCGCAGCAACAAATAAAGTCGTTGTTGTTTTGTGAAGCAATTGAGTATATTTTTGTGGGTTGGAGTGTGACGTCTTGAGACGACGCACCAAATCCGAGAAAAAAAGCTGTTTTTGATATTTCTGTTGATATTTCAAAAATAGAAAAAGTTTTTTCAATTGTTACAAAAACGACATCAAAGCACCACGAGTAGAAAATTCTTTTGCTTTTATATATTGTGTTTGTTTCAACATCCACAACCTCGACGTCAACATCCTTATATCCAAGGCTGTGCGCAGCAGATACAAAAAGTGTTGATCCGTTTAATGAGTAAATTGGAGCACATGTCGAGCAGCGTCCGTTCGCACTCATCTTAAACACTCTTGGTTGTTTTGAGTTCAGTGTGCATTGAATGACAGTTTCTATGTTTTCATTTTGTTTCTCGGGCTTTTCTTGTGTGAACATCTTCACAGAATCAAGTGATAGCAGTGCCTTCATTACAACACCGAAACATACAGCATAGGTTGTGTTGTCTTGTACTTTAGTGTACACCACAATTCCAACTGGACATTTGTCCGAATTAACAAGAAGCGCTCCGTTGGAGTTTCTTGGCGCTTTTGGTGTTAGTCTCAAAGCAACAACATCACTTCTCTCAGCACAGAATTGTGTCACACCCATTCCGAAGTCCAACTCTTGAAGAATATTGTACCCAAAGGTCCAGTCATTGTATAAGAGCTTAAGTGTATTGTCTTTAATTAACCCTCCCAAATGTGCTCTCGTTTCGACACTTCTCCATCTCATATTCTCATTTTGAAAATTATTGTCACACGCAAAAATCGCCAACCGTCCAAACGACCGGCTTTCTTTCTCATTTTTGCTTATTTTGAAAATCGTTTCACAAATATCAATCTCTCCAAGTAAATGACAACACATTTCGCACTTTTCTTTTCTCATGAAAATTTTACTTGTTTCTTTATTTCCTTCAACCAAAATAGACGATGTAATCCCAATAACCTTTTCGCTCTTTCTAACCCTCACCAAAAATCCGCATAATCCAAAAGACCCGTCCTCGTTACAAAACGTCGTGTCAATATATTCCATCACTTTGCTTTTTTCGTTTTTTCGTTTTTTCCTTTTCGCTTTGTCAGATTCTGACTTTCCTCTAATATCATTGATTGAACTATATTTAATTTCAAGTTTTTTCCAAAAAATGAAAAATAATCCAAGTGTTTTTTAAAAAAAAATCAAATTGTAGGTTTTATTAATAATATAAATTACTAAATAATTATTAAATAATTATAATTTATTTTCATTCTAAAAATATGACAACAAAATTAAAACAAATTTATTTAAACTTAATAAGATTGTGACAAATTTTTTCACAAATTAAAACTTTTTCTGAGAGCAACAATTTTTGCTTTATAACAAATGCGATGAAACTATTATAATATAATAATTAAACCATAAATATATAATATATTCAAGTAGTTCATAAACCCCAAAATATCATCACGAAAATACAAGTTACTAATTTTTTTAGTAATAAAATCATTAACATTAGTTTGTCAATAAAGACGATGAAGATTCTGTCGTTGAGTCAGTGGAGAACCCCAAGATCCTTTGAATGTTTTTGTCTCCCACTTCGATCATTGTGTGTTTATGGATCTTGACGACATCAGAGAAGTATTTACAGAGCATCGATCCCTTCTCTGCTATATCGAAGACACTCATCACCAACTTTCCCTTATAAAAAATGTTTTCGAAGTATTCGATTCTCTGTGCATTTTTGGAGACTTTGGAGAGATGTGAATTGAAGAAGAACCCATTCTCGGTACAGAGGTCCATCAAATAATTATTAGAAAAGACTTGGATATTCCTATTGAAGAGTCGTAAGCCTTTAATTCGTTCTTGTTCTGTTTTGTAGTCTGTCTCCATATAACTTTTAAATCGGTCCCGAACAAAGCCGTCATATTCAAAGATTTCATTTCCAAAGTCAATGGATATAATTTTGGGAATTTGTTCCGTCACATTCGATTTCTTTAATGGACGTTCAACATCTATGGTATGAAGCTGTGTTAATAAACCTAAGAGAACTGCTTGTTGTAGAGCTTCTTTGTTGCGCTTTTCCCGAGAGCATTGAGTCTTGAAAGGAAGAGATGTGTTCTTTGTGAAGACAAAACGGGTGTCGGACATGTATGGAAATAAAGATCGCTCTTGCTTTTTATTTTAAGGATCTTGCTCTAAAAAATCGGAAACAATGTTCTTTGAAAAATTTATTTCCTTCTTTTTACTTGTTTGGATCTTTTTCGTTTCTTTTCCTATACTAATGAAGATTTTTGAGAGCATTATTGTCGTTATTTAAAACTACTTGATTGATTATTTTTTCAATTCTTTGTATTTATATTCCATTTTCTATTTTTTGTACTGTTTTTGAATAACGTGGAAACAGTACGACTCGAAAATGTTTATTATTTCGTTTATTAAAGATATGAAAATAATTGATTGTTTAATATTAGAAAAAACAACGTAAAAAATCGGGAATTTTTTTAAAAAGAATATACAAATAAAATGTTGACTTTTCTTAGAGATTTTTCATTTCGTTTTTTTTCGTTTTTGTTTTTAAATTACCTCTTTGTTTTTTTTGTGATGGAAATAATTGAAACTATAGTTGCAAAAAATAAATATTATAAAAAATAGTTATATGCGCCATTAAAAAAGTGAACACGACAATTTTCGCTTTTTCTTATTCATGACGACAAAATAAAGCCTTTTTCCAAGGCTTTATTTTGAAAAACCCCATTGGTTGTTTCTCTTTTTTTAGTTCATTTTTGAACTTATGTCCACTCTTTCTTTTTCCACAACATGTAGAATATTTTCGAACTTTTTTCACCGCTTGCTAAAATGGTAATTTATAGTTTTTAATTGTTTGTTTTACATTACTAGAAAAAAAGTTTTTACCATACCCATAAAGAATATCCGTCGTTTATTTATAATCCCAAATATTCCCATAATCAGTAGATAAATTACGTATAATTTTTATTGCTTTAAAACACACCATTTTCATTACCAAAACAATAATTCAAAACTTATTCTTTTTTATGTTTAAATAATCGGGATATTTTCGGCATTTAAAAATACAAAGCGTTTGTAAACAAATTGCGCACTGTGTGAGTAAAGAATGTTTACAAGTTTGCTTTTTGATTATGTAGTTCTAATCGATGAATAAATGTTCATTTTTTTGTTGTTATTAAAATTGTTTTTTATTTTTTGTAAGAAAAAATGTTATACAAAAGTTATTAATACCACAAAAAGTCAAACCCGAATAACACATTTGTTGTTCTAATTCAAAAAAGAGAAAGTGAAATGAGCCGTAAAGAACTATAAAAGAGTTAAAAGAAAACAATAAAAGAAAACTTCAAAAGATAAAAAGAGATGGAAGTGGAGAACACAACAGTGCCAATTAAATCGGTCGAAGGGGAAGATGACGAGACGAAGATGTCTGTTGGTATGAAAATTGACAAACTGTTTGTTCAGCTAGAAAAGGAATTCAACGAACAAAACATCGAAGAGACTGAGCGCTTGCTCGAAGAGACTAAAGTGATGATAGAAAAGGGTGGAGACTGGGATAGGCGTAACCGACGCCGTGTATATGAAGGTTTATATTTAATCACTTTCAAACGGGACTTTGTTAAAGCATCTTCATTACTCGTCGAATCTATTGGGACGTTTGCAGTGAGTTCTTTGATCTCATTTGAGCGGTTTGTCTTCATAGCGTCGATCTCTGGGATCTTATGTTTCGACAGAAACAAGATGAAAAAGTCCATATTAGATAATCCAGACGTCATTTCAGCGTCAGTTCAATACCCCTGTCTTCTGAATATGGGCAACGCTCTTTATAAAAGCGATTACGCAACATTCATTAGCGAACTTAAAAACACGGTTGTCCTCATGATGAACGAACCCATCTTAGCAAAATCAGCCGATTGGTTCTGCAAAGAAATGCGTATCAAAGCGTACGTCCAAATCATGCGCTCGTACTTAGCTGTGAGGCTCGATGTCTTTGCTCAAGAATTTGGGCTTCCGGTCGACTTCATAGAGAAGGAGTTAGAGCGATTCATATCGCAAGGGAGACTTCCTGCTCAAATTGATAAGGTCAATGGGATTGTCATGAACGCACACAAAGACAAACGAAATGAGTTTTATGTGACTCTAGTCAAAAACGGTGATACTGTAGTCGAGAAGTTGCAACGTCTTGAGAGGAAAATGGAGTAAGTCATTTTTGCTTTATTCTTGTTTGTTATATCTTCCTGTGTTCAGCTTGTTCCGACGTCTCAGAGGTATTTCAATGTAAACGAGTTAATAGTCAATTAGTCCAATGAGAAGTGCTTCATGCAGAATTCCGAATTGACGTAGTCGAGTGCGTCCAAATAATCGGTGACCACTTCGACTAATGAAATGCTCTTGATCTGTGTTGGAGTGATTTTAAAGAGGAGGAAGGAGTATGGCGCAAGAACAAAGAGCATTCGAATTTCTTTGTCGTCTTTTTTCACAACGCCTTCGACTAACGACGCCTTCGCGATGGACGCGGTGATGGTCTCGAAATTGACATCAAGAGGAACGTTTGCTTTATAAGCCAATTTGTTCCACAAAAGCTCGTATAACTGATTTGCAGTGTCTTTTGATTTCAACTCGTCGATGTGTGGGGGGACCATAATGAAGTCATCGAAGGTCAAACTCAAGTTGTTTGTGACAATACTCAATCTACACAACTGAGCTTGTGAGTCCGTGACGATGACATACGGATCCACCGAGAAGTCACAAGGATGTGGAGAATTGAGTGGGAGTTCCAACTCGATTTTATTAGTTGCCAGATCTCCAGAGCGTTTAAGAAGTGGGTGGACGTATTTGATGCAATTGGTTTTGACGGTCTTGAAGTTGTTTTGGACAGAGAACGAGAATGGGACTACATAGAATTCGTCATTCACATCATGTGAATTTTGGACTTCCAATTGAAGTGGAATTGTTAAAAAGAATTCCGCTTTACTCAACGAGTCAATGAATGTCTCAACATCACTCGAAACTGTTCCATTGACTCGTATTATCGACATTTTGTTCGTCGGTATTCTCTTCAGTACAACTACCCCTTCCCCTCTCTCTTCTTTACTCTTCCTTTCTACCTCTTCCTCATCTTTATTGATGACACTTCGAAGCCGTTTGATGTCAAGGCGAATGACTCCACCACGTCCAGCAACACCATCAGTCATCGCATTAATCTCTTTCATATCAATACGAATGACTTCTTCACAATTTAACAAGCTGTGAATGAAACTGTCCTTCTCAGTCGACGACTCTATGTCCTCTGAAAGCAGTTTCTGCAGCTTAAGTGTGTTAATGACCACCATCCCATCCTTCCCAACTTGGTCCATACTCTTCGAATTCACTATCTCCAAAAAGTCTTTAGTTTTCAATGAAAGTTTCGAGTCGGTGCCCACAAGAGGGTAGTTCCCGTGCGTCAACAACTTCTGCATTTTCTGCACAGACATGTGGTGGATGCATCTCAAGAAAAAGAGCGCCCAGTCTTTAAGAAGTGCGTTCTTACTATTCTCCTTCAACACGACTAACAAGTTAATGATTTTATTGACACAATTAGCATTTTCTTTATTAATAGACAGCAACAGCGCCTTAAATATTTTGAAGACACAGGTATACAACGGGAGGGAATTGAACGAGAAGAACATTTTAGAGTTCACGATGAATGTAATACGGTCGAGTACAATATCAAAGAACCCACTTTGGTTCTGTTGGAGCAAATAAATGAGCATTCCGCAGTATAAATAGTGTCCCGGGACAACAGTCACATTCTTGAATATATATGGTAAGAACGAGACGATGTTGTTTGGTGTGAAATTGGTGCACTTCAGTAACCCATACACCTTTGTCAAGAAAATGCTATTTGTGTCCAAGATGTTCGGTACAAAAAATTGTTTTGCAAATGGCGATAAGATCCCTCCAATCATATTGTCACTCTTCGCTAAGTTGATTAACAAAGATAGCGCACACAGTCGAGATCCCTCTTTTAATAAGACGCGGCCGACGGTGTCCAGCAATCGCATGACAATGTCGTATCGGACTTTATCGTATTTTCTTTGGTCTTGGAACGTCGATATAACATGTAACAAAGACAATTGCATTGACGGGTCATAGCTATTAGTCAAGTAATTAAAAATGGGGAAGTAAATGGTTTCTGGACTTAAAGCGGAGCATCTCATAATGACGGGGTAGAGTGTTGATAAGTGTAATATGTCCCAATATTTCGCGTTTTGTTGGTTATCCAATATGACTGAAATGTATTGTTTCAAGAACGGTGACGTTTCATTGACTTGTTTTGGCAAATTCACGAAAAATTGAGGTATTGGATTTTGTAACAGTGGAGCTGTGAACAACTTGACTTGACTTGGGTTGTTATCGCTTTGTGACACAAAGGATGTTTGTGTGATCTTTTGTTTGAAATACGGCATAGGTGAGTAATTAGGGTACTCCACTCCTGTTGGATTTTGCTCTTGAATGAGTGCATTAGACAACACTACTGAATATAAAGTGAGTGCGGGGGTTTCGACTCCAATAGCTCGTGTGAGTTTCTCTAAGTAACTAATAGCACCTTTCAATAACGTTGGGAACGTCAACTCGAGTTCTAAGAGTGAAGCCAAAGACATCGTTGTTAATGAAATGTCATCAAATTGTGTCAGTCCCAACATGTCACCAGCATAATTAAAAAGGTGTGGCAATTTAAGACCCCAAGTGACTACTATTAGTGTTTGTGCTTCAGTAATGATCTGAAGAAGATTCACTCCACTTTGTGGAATGCTGTTAATCGGCGTCGGATTCCCACGACACCACAAAGGAACTTTCCCAATTAAAACTTCCAAACGATATCGATTTAAAGCGTCAAACATTTTTGTCACAAACTGCGAATTCTCACTTAAAAGTATTACAGGAACAGCAACGTCATTAAATAGTCGAAATGTGGTCAGTGCTTTTGTCTCATCGTTCTCGTTCCAAATCTGCTGAAGAAACTTTATAGGTGTTTCTATGTTATTCCAATCAAGTTGTGGATGTTCGTTGTTTAAGGAATTTAACTCGGTCACCCAATCGGATGTCTGCATATCGTGCTGTACTTTCTTTTGTAGTTCTTTTTTTTAGTTGTTAGCATAACATTTGAATAACATTTTTTTCAATTGAACTTCAAATGTGTTAAAACGTCAAAGTATTACAGTTGGGGGCTTTAGCTTGAGACCAGGAACCAACGTGACACCAAAAATATATAATAATAAAAAACAATCTTTACTATTTTAATGATTAACAAGATCTAATTAATAGTCTTAATAACTTTCAAAAAAAGATTAATTTTCTTTGATTTTTTATCAGTTAAAAAGTGACAATTAATTTTATGTTGTTTTTGAATGAAAATTGTTATGTTTTTTATTTTTATTTTTTTGATCGATATTTTATTGTTGATAAAACCCAATTTTTAAATTAAAAAAATTATTTTTCACAAATAATTTTGTCAATTTAAAACGAATGTAACATAACAAAAAATTGAATATTTAAACGATTTGTTTTGCACTCAATTGTAAACTGATGGCTCTTCCATCTTTCAATACCACATTTTTATTTCCAAACAACAATTTCAACCCATTACCACATCTATTGACTATTCACAAAGAAAAGAGGAATATAATGAAGCCCGCTCTTTCAAAAGGATACATGAGAGAAAAAGCAAAAAAGTCTTTTAGTGTTTTTTTTAAAATACCCCCAAACAATAAACGACTTACTTGAAAAATATGGGAAAAAGAGGAATTAAAAAATATACCTTTTGCACGCGAACAAATACATTTTATGTTTAAAGACTTCAAACTTCCAAAACGAATAATTGCAGCTTTAATGGGAGTTAAAAGAGAGACGATAAATACTCAATTAAGACGTACAGTTGAAGTAAAAAAGTCGGGACCAAAACCAAAAATAACACATTTTGCAGATAAGTTGATCAAAAGATGGATTAGACATTGTAAATCAAAAGGTATTGCGTGTACTGTAACAGGTATATCATGTTAGTTAACAAAGAAAAATCCAAATTTTAATATGACGAGAAGAGGGATAAGAAAACATATGAAAAAGTTAAATTACAAACTAGTCATAGCAAAAGCGGAAGATTATGATCGAGTTGCTTTAAAAATAGAACATTTGCGTCTGAATACTAGTTACATAATTAAATATAATGGTACACCATCTGCTCTTTGGTTTAATATCGATGAAATGGGATCAAATGATTGGGCCGACCGCAAAAGCCTTTATGTGTATCAAGAAAACGACTCTTTTGAAAAACAATGTCACGCTTGTTCACGTTCTTCAAAACATGCAACTGCTATTGTTGCAATTTGTGCTGATGGTTCTGCTCTTTCTTTTGGAGTGGTCATCACACAAGAACGTTATTATTCAGTTGTCAAAGAGAAGTTTCCAACCAGTATCGTGTATACAACAAACAATGGATTTGTCACAAAACAACTTTTCAAACATTGTATATCCAAAATCATCAAAGAAATTATATCAAAAAGAATTTTGGTTGACTTGAAGGTTATTGGGCTATAATAACAATGGATAATTTTTCAGGACACATAGACGAAGAAATGATGAGTTGGTTCGAAGACAATCAAATATTAGTACATACCTTTAGTCCACACTCTATTCACCTCGTAGCCCCTCTTGATCTGTGTTACTTTGGAGCCGTCAAAAAAATGACAAACACTTTGAAAACGATAGTAAAAACAGGCAACGCAACGATAGTTGACTTAGACTAACACTCAATTCAACAAAATGTTGTTTCCCAGAACACAGGAGACTTGATGGATGAATCTGATAATGAAATGAATGAAATATTTAATGAATTCGTTTGTGATGATGATGAAAATATTTTAAACGAATTTGCAACAGAAAGTGGAAATACACAACGTATTTTTCGTACACAAAGAGCACCAAATGGGTTGGCCGTTACAACTAAATTACTTGGTCTTCTGAAAGCTCTGACTGACAGATCAACATCTACAATTATCAAAGTTTCTTTTGAAAGAAGTGGTATTGTTTTTAAATATGTTGGTGGTATTATATGTGTGTTTTTTGACATCAAAAAAGCCTCAAGGATGATAAAAGTGTTTCCAAATCTTGCAAGTGATCATGACCAAACAAATGTTACAAATAATAGTTCTTTTCTTATTCATACAGTTGATGAAAATGAAATAGAAATTCCCAACATTTCAAAAAAACATATCGATACACTTGAAAAAACCATCAAAAGTTTATCGAACATTTCTTGTTGTGTTCAAATTAATGACCATATTTCACAAATTAAAAATTCGTTGCTATTTCTACGCACTTTGGAAAAACATTACATTAGTACCAATTTCAATTCAAAAAATCAGTTGTTGTTTCGGAATTACTACGTGTAAGTATAATATGTTTTAAACATCAGCAATATCGAAAAGCAAACCCAAATAATTCGAAACAACAGTGAATGGCACCAAAAATATAAAAACAGTTATTTTTTTTAAGTTTTGTCGTTAGTGTTTATTTTTGTTTTTGACATAAATAAAATAATTAAGTCAAAGACAGAACTAATTAAAAAAGAAAACTAAAAATATTTTTAAGGAAAAAATTCCCACTTTTTAAGGAAATTTGTTTCTACAAGGAATGTGGTTACAAGTAAGTTCCCGGAGACAGGTTAGTACCCATACTGTATATATATATAAATTTTATTTTAAAAATAAATATTATTAGAAAATAATGACAACAATTAAACTGATTTATTATTAGCTTATTAATAAATATACTATATATGATAATACAATAAACACTTTGTTTTCTTTTGTTATTATTCTTCAAAAATATGACAAAATACTAACTAACTATTTGTTATTGTAAAGTGATAAATTCTATTATTATTATTATTACTATTAAATTAATTACAATATAAATTATATTGTTATTTCTTTTTTTTACAAATGAAATGGCAAAATTGGAAAAAAGTAACAATTCAATTGTTAGTTCCAAGTTAATTTCAAGATGAAAGTAACGAAACATAACTACAAGATCGGCATATTCAATATTTTTTAACCATCAGAGGCTTAATCTGGTTAATTTGTACTAATTTTTATAATAATTTAAATCGGAATTATATTAAAATAAAAATGTTAAACTAATTCAATCACTGAAGAAAAGTTAAATTTTAGCTAATTTGATTGAAATAAAAACCTCAAAAATAAACTTTTTGAAATAATCAAATTTTTTTTCTTATTTTTTAATGTCTCATTCCCGTTTATTTAATAGAATGACCCCTATTTCAATTAACTAAAAGAATGAGAGACTTGCATTAAAGATGTATTACTATTAATTATAATTATCAAAATTATAAATATAGTATTTGTCACATTATTATTGTTAACTAGCAAAAAAGGTAAATACCCCCGAAACAGTAAACGATTATCATGAAAGTATAATCGTTTACAAAGTTTCCACATGAATGCCCACAAAAACAGGTAAACAAATTCAATAATTTCTTGCAGATCTTGATGTACAATAGAATTGAAAAATCCCGAATTCATCTTGAAAAGAAATGTCGCCAATGGATAATCTTCACGTTTGTATCCCACAATATCGCACTTGATAGAACAAAATCCATTAACCCATAGAAATCGATTGAATCTCTCCAACCCTGTGAGTTTGAGTGTTGGGGTGAGAAGGTCGGTGGTTCCATCAAGACTTGGAAAAAGCGGTATTTTGTGTTAAAAGACAAGATGATTTGGTACTATGCATCCCGCCATGATTTAATCGCAAAAGGGTGTGTAGAGATTCAAAAAGGGACTTCAGTTGAGGATGTTTCAGGAAAGCGAATTGCCAAGAACAAACCAAATGCTCTTTCTGTAGGGGTTACAAGTGTGAAGTTTGTTCCTCTCTTTTCTTCACATCACAAAATTAACAATTCAGAGGGAGTCGCCTCTTCATAGTCGTGTGTGAGAATTCTTCAGACTTCCAAAAGCTGTTCGAACAATTGAAGAAAGCAACACAAGTAGAACCACTCGCAACCATCCCACGAGTCGTCCCCACTTCTAAAATCCCCACAACACTTGTACCGACAATGGGTGAGTCTCCAATCCTCCAGCGTGCTCTTGTCGCCTCATACAAGTCAAATGCATTTGGATGGGACAATGTGAAAAAGGTGAAGAACTCGATTGTGTATATTAAAAAAGACCCGGATCTCTCAAAGTATTGGCAATTCTGGCTCGACCAACTGCCAAGTAAAAAATCGCCAAATTCCCCACCTCTGCCTTTAGGATCTGTTGTTGAGTATACCGTCGTTGTATCGTCATCAACTGAAAATACTAAATGGATTGCTTGTGGGACTCAAGCCGCTATGATCAAGCCCGTTGTCGACTTCTTTGTGGGAGTCGGGTCACCGGACGTTGAAATTGATGCGATTGATTGCTTTGGGGAAACCCTAGTTCCCGACCAGATGGGGAATTGGATTGAAGTGTCGAATAACTCGGGGATGGCGGAGGGGTGGATGTTCTCTGGTGATTTTGATGTGACGGTGATCAAGAAATTTGTCGATGGGGCTGCCGCCGAGAAGTTACGGACTTGGTTGTTAGATAGTAAAGTTAGTAAGTTCATCCAAGTTGGGAGAGAGATGGGGGAGAACCCGCCACGACAAAATGTGTTCACGTTTGCACTTGGAGGAGAGGCGAGAGGACAAGTTGAGAGAATACAGGGACTCATGAAGAGATTTGAATTTCCTGAATTGCCAGGAAGCATTGTTTCTGTCATGACTAACTTGAATAGTTTTTATGGAAATATCGTTATTGAACTCACACTGAGTAATGAAGGAGCTAGTAGAGTGCGAGTTATGATACCAGAACCTACCGATGATATCGCAATGGCTATGTTAGATGCAATTGGTACAAAAACTAGTGGAAAACAAGTCCACCTTGGATTGATGAAAGACAGAACGTATAGTATTAGGTATGTTGAGTATAGTTACTTAAAGAAAGGGTTTGGTCATAACGTGTTTTTGGAAGGACAAGACGTGAGTGTTCATTACTTCCTTGGTTCGGACCAATAGTGTTTATTGTGAGTTTGAATTAACTGTTGTTTGTACATCCGTGTTTTGGTTGCGATGGAAATAAAACTATAATTGATCATTAAAGAAACTATCATTTTGAATAGAAAATATAAAAAGTATTATAATTTAAAATTAATAAATTAGTTAGTTATTATTTTTATCAAAACATGAAACACAAAATTTGAATTATTATTTTTAATTTATATCATTATATATAATTAAAAAACTAATTATTTTTAGTTTAATTAATTTAACTTTAATATTATTTAAACTATATTACTTAAACTAGTTGTTTTAATAAATATCATAAATAAAAACTATATAATTTTATCATTTATAATAATAATTAATAGTTTAATTAATTAAAAACAATCAACGTGTTAACACAAATTAAAACATCCTCAAAATTCATAAATTCTACAATGTCCGTTTTTGTTGTTTCTTTGTCCCGAAAATTAGGCAAGTGAAGACCTAAATATCATTTCGTTGTTTTTTTTTCGAAATGAATAAAATCCCGTTTTTTTCCATATTTATTTTCGTTTATTAAAATTAAATTCGTCGAATAATTTGCTCGAAATAATAAGAAATCGTAAAAATAAAAAGAAAGAATTAATAGAATCCACATATCCTACAAAATTGTATAAAAAACAATTATAATAAAGAAACATAAATTTAATTATCGTTTGAAGAGCTTTTTGTGTTTTTTTGGTTTATAAACACAACATCGAATGGAACTAAACTTCGACAAGATTCTCTTCTTCTTTTTCGTAATAAAAAGGAGTTTCTGTGAAACTGGTAGACAATGTCTTCACCACCACTTGAAGTGCAAATACCACAACCAGTGGCTCGAGACCCAAAGTTGTGCCAAAACGAACACATTCCAACAAAAGTCTACAAGACTTCGACCGATGCCAGTATAGCTGCTGCACACGAAATCATCGATTTGATTAATCAAAAAGATGGGAAAGTAGTTTTAGGCTTAGCGACCGGATCCACACCAACTGAAATCTATTCTGAGTTGGTACGTGCTTGTAAAAATGGTGAAGTCTCATTCAAGAATGTCAAGACCTTCAATTTGGATGAGTACTACCCGATGAAACCAGACCAATTCCAGTCTTATCACCACTTCATGAATGAAGTCTTATTCAACCACATTGACATCAACAGAGAAAACGTTCACATCCCCGATGGAACTTGCCCAGTCGACAAGATCGAAGAGTTCTGTACCAACTACGAGAAACAAATCGAAGAAGCGGGTGGACTTGATTTACAGATTTTGGGGATTGGCCGTTCTGGGCATATAGGGTTTAATGAACCAGGCTCTCCTGCTACTTCAAAAACAAGAAAAATCTACTTGGACTCAATTACTCGATTGGACGCCGCTGGTGACTTCTTTGGTATGGAACACGTCCCAACACAAGCGATTACTATGGGAGTTGGAACAATCATGAAAGCAAAGAGATTATTACTGTTAGCCTTTTCTGAGGGCAAAGCAAAGATCATTGCAAAGGCGATTGAAGGCGAATCAACTGAACTTTGCGCAGCTTCCTTGTTACAAAGACACTGTAATACTACGGCTATTTTGGATTTACCCGCATCGTCTGAACTCACATATTACGCTAACCCATGGACTCTGTCACTGAAAGACTCAACACTCAATGTCAAATACGACAAACCGTTAATCAAACAAGCTGTTGTATGGTTGGCCCTCCAGTGCAATAAACCAATATTACAATTGACTTCGAATGACTACTATAACCACCACTTGAATGCTCTCTTGGAGCAATGTGGAAGTTCAGAGAGCGTCAATTTGTTTGTCTTCCAGTCGATTCAAGACACCATCAGTGGATGGCCATCGGGCAAAATGTCGAAAACTACAACCCGAGAGTTGAAGGTGTACGACCACCCAACACTCGATAGAAAGACTCTGTACAACCCAGAAATGGCTATCCACAAGAAAATAGCCGTCTTCTCTCCGCATCCAGACGACGACGTCATTTCAATGGGAGCCACCATCCAACGATTGTGTGAACAAGGAAATGAAGTGCACACTGTGTATGAAACCAGCGGCGCCATAGCTGTTTGGGATGACGATGTGAAGAGGATGCTTCACTTCACTGATTTGTATGCCAAGCTTCTGAACATTGAACCAGAGAAGTACATCAAGAAGAACGAAGAGATCATGGGGCTCTTCGAAGGGAAGACTGCAGAGGAAGGGTATCAAGACAGAAGGATAGTATTAGAGATCAAGAGAATAATGAGGGAGACTGAAGCCGTCGATGCCTCTCTCCACTGTGGTGTGAAGAGAGAGAACGTCCATTTACTCAACTTGCCATTCTACCAGACAGGACAAATAGTGAAGAACCCCGTCTCGCAGTCTGACATTGAAATTGTCAAGAAGGAATTACTCAAAATCCAGCCCGAGATGATCTACGCGGCCGGCGATTTGACGGATCCCCACGGAACACATCGGAAGTGCACTCGATGTGTGTTAAAGGCACTTGAACAGTTGGAAAAGGAAGGACAAGAGTGGGTCAAGAAAGTGGAGATCTGGTTGTATAGAGGAGCGTGGCAAGAGTATGAAGTCTATAGAGCAGACTTGATAGTCCCCATGTCGATCAATGAAATTGCAGATAAGAGACAAGCCATCTTTAAACACCAATCACAAAAAGACCTTGCGCTGTTCCCCGGAGCAGATAGTAGAGAGTTTTGGCAAAGAGCGGAAGATCGAAATAAAAATACCGCGGACTTACTTGCGAAGCTCGGGTTCACCCATTTCGCAGCCGCTGAAGCGTTTGTCAGATACAACAAGTCCATGATTATCTAATTTACTAAGTTCACTTAGAGTTTTTAAAGGATTTTTATAATCTCATTTTTTCATGGACTTTTCAAAATGAAAACCGATATAAAATATAATAAAAATACTATAATTAATAAGAAAATTGAATTCTGGAAGACAATTCTTATTTTATTAGTTGTGTCTGTTATATAAATACTCAAAAAATCAGTGATTGAAGATTGAAATAATGAGTGAGTTGGGAAAGAGAAGACTCGATAGTTATACTATTTTAATAGCAACACAATATTTCACAACACCGGAAGATTTTGTCAATGTTGTGTTGGTCTGTCGGAAATTTGAAAATACGTTGAACAAATTCCGATATAACCCTATCTCTGTCAAAACGAAAACACTCTTTCCGTGTATGGAGACCCAATATTTATACACTCTTGAGGACCAAAAAATACCAAACTTATTTGCATATTATTATTATTATACCATTAGTTACTCAAAAGCATTTTTCTTGCTCTCAAAATCACTGACAAAAACACTCCAGAAATTTCGCTGTGTGAAATACACAGAAACTGATTTGTCGAAATTTGGCATACATCCCTTGGTGGAAAAAATAACTCACGACACTGAGCGGAACGAGAGAATTCAAATCAAGGCGATTGCCAGTAACCTCTTTGAGAAATCATTTTTGGTCACCGTCGGCGACAAAAGTGTTCAACAAAGGAAGTTACATCAAGGAGGAGATATGACTATTGGCACACAAGAAGAGATACAAACGCACTGTTATATAACACTTCCCGACTCTATTCAAGAATATGGGAAAGACTGCTTCTTCAATTCAACTTCATTGACATCAGTTCATATATCAAATAACACTACGACGCTTCAAGAAGGCGTTTTTAGAGGGTGTGTAGCACTTGTTAATGTCACACTATCAACTAATATGACTTCTCTTGAAAATTCCCTCTTTTCAGGATGCTCAAAACTCCGCAATATAGAACTTCCGCTTTATATTAACAAGATTGGGGAAAACGCATTTTCACATTGTAAGAGCCTGACATCGATATCAATTCCAAAGTCGGTGTCTTCAATCGGCCAATTCGCCTTTTGCTCCTGTGAAAATTTGGAAACAATCAATTTGAATATGCTCGAAAGAATCACCGCGTTCTGTTTTAGTGAGTGCTTCAATCTGTCGAGTGTCGTCCTTCCAACTTCCGTCATCGAAATCGAGACCGCCGCATTTAAGAGATGCTCCGCTATCACAAGACTCAAACTCACTAAGTCCATCACAAAATTCGGAGACAGCTGTTTTTACCTCTGCAACTGCAAACTCTTCAAGGACTACATTCTCCCAGAACGCTGCTTCACTCTGCCATAGTTCTTTACTTGTATTATAATTCATTGTAACATACTCTAGTTATAGTATAGCTATAGTATAGCTATAGTATAGTTATTAATATGAAATAGTTCTTTGTGACGAAGAAATAGAATGAACTTGTTGAATCAAAAACACATTAAAATGCCAGTAACCGAGATCACAAGTGTCACACAATTCAACGAAATGATCGCGACAGGCGATTGTATTGTCGACTTTTACGCGACATGGTGTGGGCCTTGTCGAAGTATTTCTCCGTATGTTGAAGAGCTCTCGCGACAATATCCGACTATCAAGTTCTGTCGTGTAGATACATCTCAGGTGCAAACAGTCGCGGCGTTCTATCAAATTCGGTGCATCCCAACTTTCTACTTTTTTTCAAATGGAATTAAGATGTCACAGTTTTCTGGGGCTGATCGACAGAAGTTGAATGATATGGCGATGTGGGCTTATTATCAATAAGTATTTTAATGATATTAAATGAAATTTAACAAGTTGAAATAACATTTTCTATTATAATAGAAAAAACCAACTATTTTATCAATTAAAATATTTATTAGAAATAAAAGAAAGTAAATTATGGGACCTACATTGACCACCACCACCACCTCTTAAAATAGATTTATTTTTTCTATTTCGAATCATATTCAAATTAAAATTATAGTAAATAGGAAACTGGGATAATATTAGGTCTGGTTCCCGAATTCAAAAAATGCCGAAAATTCACCTTGATTTAGTGGAAACCGAGTAAGACGGAGCATTGAAAAGAAGGCTCTGAAGACACACTCAAACAGTCTGTTTGTGCACCGTTTCACCCACTTTCCAAGTCCTCCCTTGGCGCGGATCCCCCCCTGACCCCCCCGCAAGCGGGGGGGAACCACATCCGCGTCCACACAGTACGGACAAGGAAAGTGGGTGACATGGGGACGCACAAACAGTGGCTGAAAAGTAGACTTCCTTCAAAAAACACTTGCGGCAAATATTTTTTTTTGGTAAAGGTGGTGGTGGTCAATGTAGGTCACGTAAATTATTGTTTTATTTAATTGATTGGAATTATTCTTTGTAGGTTAATTGATTATTACAATTGATGATTGAATTATAATAAATCTTTACTTTGGATTAATTAAAAAAATTATTAATAAATGAATAGATTATCAATTAATAGAAAATTTGTAGAAAACAAAACAAAACCAAATCGTGATTGTGTGATTGAGTTGTCAAAGTGTCACTCTGTGAATAAAAGGATGGAAATTAAGAGGAAGTCCAATTGAAAATGGAAACACTCTTATTGTGTGCATTTGTGATGATGGCATCAGCAGATTACATCAAGTTGTATGACGACGGAGACTTCTATGAGGGATTTGAGGTTGTCAATCCAGACAACTTGACTGTTGGAATACAAGACAAAGACAGATCGCACTGGGAAGTTGTGACGATGTTGCCTGGTGAGGAAATAGTGTTCACAACAAACGACAGCGTCTCAACAACAGTCCAAGACAAAGACAAAACATACAAGACACTCAGATTCCATGTCAAGTATGACAACGACGACTTAAACAACATCCCACTCAATGTTAAGATATTCAGCACTTCGTACGACTCATTCAACGAGACCACCATCAACAACACAGCGGGTTACACAATCAAGGTCAAGAAAAACAAGAACATGAAGGCGTACATCAAACTTGACCAATTCAACTTGAATGGTGAAGTTTCAACAATCATCTTCACAAGAACTGGTGACTCAACAACTTCTGTCAACTTGATGCTCGACAAACTTGAGTTGGACACAAAGGACACCGAGACAGACTCATATGAGAACAGTGCATCGTCTTTGTTGATTGGTGTGCTTTTCTTTGCTATTGTTTTGACTTTCTAACTAGTTTTGTTAGTTTATTAATCATTTTTTATTCCAATACAAGTATAACAACCACGTAATAAAAATGTTTAAAAATATCTATAACAACAAACACTTTAGTTGTGAATACTTTGACAACCACGTTGGATTATACAGGAGAATAAAACAATACACTAAATTTGTTTCACTCAAAAATTTGAGTGAAATTTGACATTTAATATTGATTCAAGTCCAATATAAGTGCGTGAGTAAAAAAAAGAGTAACTATAACTACACATGCAATAAATTACTGAAGTAAAGCAATACTTAAATATAAAAACATTTAATCTGGTACGAGTATTAAAATAATTAACACTTCAAACTTCTGAGTAAATTACACAATGCAAACCAAAACTAATTTTTAAAAAGAATTAATTTGACCATTAACATGCTACTCGAAAGTCATTTTATTCGCGCCTCAATGAACCAAAAATTCACTTACTTTTTCGTTGTTTCTCCATTCACCATCTTTGGTGTCATCATCGAAATTTCCTTTCCTATATTTACTTTCCCCGCAAGCTTCGTTAATTGCTTCGCGACGTTTTCTTCTTGTTTTGTTTTTTGAGTTAGTTCTTTCTTCGGTTTCTTCGTTGTGCTTTTTGTCGCTACATTTGTGGTGTTACTACTTTTGTTGTCCTTTTTGACATATGGCTTCTCGGCACGGCTCTTGTGTTTAATTGGGAGTTGGACTTGTTCCGCCTTTTTTGGCAATTTCTCGCCTTGGATTGGGACACCAACTTCTGTTTTATTCATCGCTTCTTCAAACTCCTTGTGTAACCAGTCTACTACAAGTTGATGTTTCATTTTGGCTTGTTCGGTTTTCTCTTGAAGCATCATTACCTTCTTCTGTAATTTTCGTATTTCAATAGTCCGCGTCTCGCGAAGTACTTCGTCCAACACAAACATCCGCTTCCTCACTATTTTCACTCGATCCATCTCCATGCCATACCGCTCTAAATGGAACTTCTGTTCTTCAACACTCCGCACAACTTCAATTTCTCGCTTTTCATTGTCCATCGCACTTTCACCACTCATTACCTCGTTTCTCATATCAATACGCTTCTCAACCAATTTGCGTCGGAATGACTCGCTGAATGTGTTCAGACTCTTCTCCCCAATTCCTAAATACATTTTCAGCTCATACACACCGCCAAGACATTCGTGTTTAACAGTCAGTTTATATCCATCCGTCTTGTTGTTTAAGACCTTTTCTAAATCTTTCAGAATCAAAAGCTCTTCATCATTCTTCAAGTTCGACACAGTGATATTGTAATCGCATTCTCGAGTCAATTCTAGAATATCGTCATGTGCGGCACTGATCTTATCTTCAACCATTTTCATCACACTCTTCTCAACCTCAACCGGTCTTAACTCAAGTAAGTCTCTGATGTCATACACTTTCTTGTTGATATCCAAAATCGTTGCCACAACATGTTCCAACTTAGATGATGACATATCAGTGTCGCTCATCTCCTCCAACCCAGTCAACCCAATCAGACTGGTATCAATTTCTGCTTGTCGTTGTGCAACAACATCGTCGACATTTCTTACCATCTTTTTCACACCCTTATCGGTCTGCAACACTTGGAAGACCAAATTGAAATACAGTGTTGTCACATTTCGAAGCAAGTTCATTCGTTCTCGTTGTATTTTGTTTTGTGCCGCCTCGAGGCTTAAATTGAATGTTGCGTTATTCGTTGGGTCTCTCAATTTGACGTTGACTTGTTTCAGAAGTTCATCGGCTTCTTCAAGTTGTTTTAAAAGAAGTTTCGAAGTATTTGTGTTCATTTTATATTGCTCCAATCGGTTCACTAATGTTTCATTTCGTTCTTTCCAACTTTCAAGTACTTTTGCTTGGTCTTTTCCTATTTGTTTGACTTTGTCTTCTATCCACTCAACCTTCTTACTAATCACATTCTTGAGTGGACTAATTCTCCGTAACTTTTCCCTAACTTCATTCTTCTTAATAAGCGCAGCTTTCTTCTCCTGAGCAGAGTTCTCCATTAACTCTTGGTACTTAGTAAACAACGCTTTATCTGTGCCATTCTGAGATAACTTCATTTGCTCTTGATACATCCCCTCCTCCACTTTCTTCTCTTTATACTCTTTATCAAGCTGCGCCATTTGCTCTCGAACTTCTTTGATTTGCGACGCTGTGATAATCCCAAAGCGTTGGTATAATGTCGATATTTTCGTGAAGTGTGTGATGAGGTTGTCCGTGTTGAGCAACACGCCGCGGACCGTGTCGTTCTCTCTCTTCCAGTCCTTCTCGAGATCGTCAGTGATTGTGTAAGTTGTGATATCACGAAGACTCTTCGCGACAGGGCGAGTCTTCGCGGTGTATGCCCAAGCGCAAAATGTCACTAGAAGTGTTATAATGATAGCCATCGATAATATAAAACATTTTCAAGTTCCTTTTCTTTTCAATTTGGTCTTTGATTTTACGTTTTGGTATTCAGTCCATTTTTGTTATATATAACATTATTTGAGGTTACAAAATGTTATTGTAAAAACTTCAAAACACAGAAACACTAATTACGCAAGATGGCGCTGGGCAGTTTGCTCCAGAAGAATATCAAAGACACTTTGGTCTTCAAAGACTACAATCGGTTCGGGCATTGGCGAGTCTTTTCGTTTCTCCGTGTTGGAAAGACGGGAACGGGGCCCTTTATTCTCGGTATTTTGAAGTTTGACAGGCTGTTTAATGGTACTCATTAGAGGAATAAGAGTTAAAGATCAATTGTTATATAATGTTTATAAGGTGAATAATTGTTAAAATGTCCAAAACTTGGCTAAAAATCAAGCATTTGTCATCTGCTTTTCTTTTTCCTCAAATTTTTAAAGCCGTTTTCCCGTGTTATTAAGTATTTAATTCGTAAAAGATATAAATAAAAAATGACGCGGAAACGTCATTTTTTATTCTTTGTAGACAAAAGTTTATCTCTTTATTATTCTTCTAATGATTTCTTTACTATTAAAAATAGTAGTATTTAAATTTATTATATTTAATAATATTGTTTAATATATATTTACTATTCATAATCTTTCAAATAAAAGTAAATAATAAAATTAAACATTACAATAATATAGCTTTTTTTAGTACAAAAAATGAAGTCTAATAAGTTTATATTTGATAAACAATTCATAAATTCATATTCGCCTTATTGTTCATTTTAAATTGTTTAATCAGTCTTTTGTTTCCTTGTATTCTCCATATTGTTTCTACTTTCATACTATCAAATGTGGTCAACTGATCGAATACAACATTATCCACATAAGTCATCAAGAGATTTTTAACTTTTGTTCCTGTGAATGTTATTGTATTAATTTTACCCACTTCGATAGTACCATAAATTCCTCCAATGACACTCACTTCTGTTGTATTCCCAATCTTCACATTGTTTGTGCAGTCTTGTACGTCACTCTCCAACTCAATTGAGTAACATTCAAAGTTAGATAAGTCGACATCTCCATACAAATTTTTTATACTCAGTTTTCCAAGAACTAAACAGAACGACATCGCTCTGAACCGATACAACTCAACCCCCCCTTTAACCACCAAGTAATTTAATAACATCCGCAGTTGGTAAATCCCATATATTTGAAACTCTTCCATCTGCTCACAATCCACAATATACACTCCATCATACACTTTTCCTTTGTGCACAAACGTCACAACATTAGCAGGTGAAAGGTCCATTATAAACCGTTTCAATTTGTCAGTGTTAATCACCACTGGTTGTCCGTTGTACTGAGAAATATTAACACATCTTGGTTTGCACTCGTCCATGCAAACGTCTCCTCTAAACTCGGAGAGGGTAATCACTTCAATGGTTTTGGGTACATACACTTTTGCAACTCCCTTACACGATATTAATATTGTCTTGATGGTTGTTGAGTGTGTGAAATCAAGAACTGGAAGCCTCTGCAAATCCAACACTGATGTGTGTATTTCAATTTGATCAAGGAGTGATTTTGTTAACAGTTGTTCAGCAACTTCATCACAGTTCACAACATTAGAATAGACAATCACTCGCTTCTCATCAATGGTATCAACAAAGAAATAAGACTCACCAAGTTCTTTTTCTTTAAGTGTTGAATAATGAAATGGAGGGACATATGGATATGTCATCAGATTCAGTGACATAAATTGTGCATAGACTTCGACGTTTGGAGGAAGACCATCCAACACATTACAAATTAAATTTTCTTGATACGAATAAGTGTCATATATCACCAAAACAAATTTCACATTGGCTCGTTTCTTAAAATCAAGTTGCACGACTTTGGTTATTTGAGCAATCGGGAATACAAGCGTGAACTTCCGAAGTGTTGCGACGTCAGGAATGAAATAAAGTTCTTTGCTTTGACATGAACACCATAGCATGACTTCACTGAGTGTTTTGTATTCAGAAAAGAAGTGCGCCTTTTGAATGTATGGGATATTGAACATACGCAATTTTTTCACCTTTTCAGTGAAACAAAGGGAATGGAACATTTGATAATCTTTATAAGCAAAACTAGTGAAGTCCAATTCAATCAATGAAACACTGTCAAGCTTCATATCAGTGAAATTATTTATTTCATCAAATACTAAATAAAATGTCTGAAGAACTGAAAACAATTTCTTTATTTTTTCCAAAGACTCTTCTGTTGATAATTTGTAAGGGTTGATATACATCGTCTGTACTGATGTTGTACATTTCTTGTTCATTAAAATAAAGTTGACAACATCTTCCAAGTCTTCTAAATACAACACAACATTTTTAAGGAAGATGTGTTCAAGGGATGTCATCAACAAGATATATATTGTGTATTTAAGTTTAATTTTCTATTTATAAAAAGAGAGTTAAAATATTAATATGTTCGTCTTAAGTTATTTAAAATTTAAATAATTTGTTTGTATTTAAAATAAATTAATATTAAAATAAAGCCAATTAGTGAGTGAATTATGGTTCAACAATATTGAATATTCTCTCGGGTGTTGAGACCGAGCCAAAGAGTCTCATCAAGCAACTTGGATCACCTTCACATTTGACTTTGCCACTCATCACCAATCCCTTCAACTCAACCTTTTTGGCAATGACACCAAGCAACACCATTTTAGTTAAAGTTAGACTAACATTAGCTTTTTTGCTTAGTGTAGTTCTTACATTGACAACACAATTCTTAACAACTAAACAGACAACTTCCTTTGTATCAACAAAAGTGAAATTGATAATCATACTCTGGTCGACTATTCTTTCTGGAACTATATTTGTAGACATCACTTCGAAGAGCTGTGGACATGTCAGAGCAACAATAATACTCAAATTCTCCGTGTTATTGGCCTTGAATTCCTTTGCCTTTTCTCCCATAATTTCAAACGCCCCAGTTAAATAGATATTTCTCCACACTGCAGACTCTTGTGCGTATCCAAGTTGTGTATAAATGTCTGCTAAGACCTTTCGCGCTTCAACATTTTTAGGGTTGCCAAAAATGACGTGGTTCAATACCTCAACGCCCCATCGATATTCTCCATCAGTGTACGCCTTCTTCCCTATTTCAATCAATTTCTCCTCACCAAAACATTCCAAGTATTTCTTACCCATTTCTTCTGGCGCAAGTGGGTCGAGTGATGCAGGGTTACCATCATAAAATCCAAGATACAATTGGTACTGTGCTTTAATGTTATGACTTAAAGTACCATAATATCCACGACAGTAAAACTCCTTTTCTAGACTCTTTGGTAACTTCACGAGTGTTGGAATTTCATTGGGAGTGTAGCCCATGTTGATATAACGGATGGTCTGGTCATGGACGAATTTGTATAAGTCGCGCTGCTTCTCCCAGAACTCGACAATCTCTTTATTCCCCCACACGGGCCAGTTGTGTGACCCAAAACTGATTTCGACATCATCACCAAACTTCTCAATGATTTGGTCGATATAGTATGACCACAATTGGCCACTTCTGACTTTAGCACCACGGAGTGTGACTAAATTATGCATCAAGTGATTGACTTCTTCCGCTTGGCAGAATGCCTTGAACTCGGGAATATAAAATACAAATTCTGATGGGGCTTCCGCGCCAGGTGTTTCAATGAATTGGATTTTGATACCATCGACTTCCAATTCTTTCTCACCTTCTACTTCAATGCACGATGATTGATTGTGGAAACTATTCACCCCATGTGAAAGTTGGTGTCCAAGTCCACACCCGACCATCCCAAGTGGGTTAATTGGGAGGTTTTGGCCATACATAAAGATACTTCTCCTGTCCATAGCATTGCCAGTGAGTAAGTTCTCTTCTACTAACTCTTTTAAGCAATTCTTTGGTTGGTAGACTTTCACTGACCCATCACTGACCCCGGCATACCCACCAACATGATCCCCATGACTATGTGTGATGATAACTGCGGAGACGGGAATGTCTTCTATATGCTTTTTCAATAAGGCCAGACCAGCTGCGGCTGCTTCATTGGTGCAGGTGCAGTCAACAACTATCCACCCACTCTTTCCCCTGATGAATGACATGTTCGCTATATCAAAGCCACGGATTTGGTACAACTTCCCTTTGATAACTTCGAATAGACCATGTTTCTTGTTTAACTGACACTGTCTCCACAACGAGGGGTTCACTGTCTCAGGACATTCTTTGTCTAAAAATTCGGTCATCTTGAAGTTGTAGCACATAGAGTTGTAGTCCTTGCCTGGGATATATTCATCCGGGTAAGTCGCTATAAAACCACGCTCTGCGTTTTCAAAATCTCGTTTGTCGTTAAAGTCCAACTCGGAGAATACTTTGGCATTTGCTTGCTTTGTGAACTCACTCGCCATAATGTCGCATTTTCAAGTTTTTCTATTTATTAAGATATGAGGAATTTTGGAAGCTCAATCTTTGAATATATTTAGAAATCAGTCTATTAAAATTGTTTGATAATAAATAATACGTACTAATTCATTGAAAATGCCGTTCAACAATAACACCAAGTATTCTAATACATTCATTAGATGACAATTAAATCAAATCTTTATAATTTTATTTTATATTAATTTTTTGCTCTAATAAGAAATACAAGTGCTAAAAATGATAAACTTGATAAAATTTTTTTTTAAATAATCCTTAAAAAAAAATATGTTCACTTCTTGCATTTTAAACAATTCAACTAAAACTTTTGAAAAGTTAACACTTAAAATAACACCCTTGTTATTTATTAACCTGTTTTTCTGGGATATTAATTAAATTTCAGATAATTTTCCCTTTTTAACTTGTGTATTGTTTATGCACATAAAATAAACTTTAAAAAACCAGAATTTTATTTAATAAACTCGAGATTTCCCGTTTTTTAGACCATTTGAATTTTGTTCAATGTTATTTTAAATGTTAATGTTGTTTTTTTTTCTTCTAAATTATAAAAAATTGATTTAGTTGTGACTTACTGTAAAAGATTTTGGTGTGACTTCTGCTTTGGGTCACTTCTTATTTGAAAACTGTGACCAAACTGGGTTTTACTAATTATTTAATAATTATGAAGTGCTTAAGTAATTTATGAATAATATATTACAAATATTATATCACCAATTATTAATAATTAATTATATCCATACAGAATAAAAGAAACCTTAATAGCAATAATAAAATTATTTGAGTTCATCAGTATTTTTTAGCCATTTCTCGTAGGCTCGCACTTCATCCTCAGCCACACTTGCCCTGAACGCTATCCTCATGTCGGGGATACTCGTTTTCCCAGAGTCATTACCAGCTACACCTTGCTCAGCGTAGTTTTCACCAATCCAGTCCTTCTTCTTAGCAACTGGGAACGAAGAAATTAACACCGAGTTCCTTGCTATTTCAGCTAAATCTGTTTGACTGAGTTTGAAATTTTTCATAGCGGACGCGTACTCCTCCGTCAACGGTTCTTTGGTGATGTGCGTGTGCAGCGGCGTATCTGTTGACAAACAGATTTTCATTCCTCTCTCAAACAACTTTCTAAATGGCTCCTCCATTCCTCCGTACAGTGCAGATTGTTGAATTGGTGATGATGAAATACCAATCTGTCCAAGTATGTACAAATACTGTAACGTGTTTTGTCCATCAAGTGTCACTCCGTGTGTGATGGAGTCCGCGGTCAAGAACCCAGCAGCGCAATGCATTCTATCTCCAGCCTGACCACAATGTGGTCTGAACTCGTAAGTGTTGAGTTTAAGTTCTCTTCTAATACCATTCAAAACGGTCATGTTCGCGTAGATATAGTATAGATAATACTCATAAGGTGGGTCTTCTGGTCCATTCCAGTCCTCTGGTCTTATAATGCTTCCCAAGTCTATTGAGTCTTCGTGCAAAAGCTCTTCACTTGGCGAGTCAAATGCGCCAACGTTCTTCAAAAATTCCGCAAGTTTTGGATGTTCGTTGGGGTGTAACGTCGCTTCAAAGCACGGTTGGAAGACATTCCGAAGCACCTCAGCAAAGTTGTTGACCAACCCCATACTCTTCCATCTCCCGTAGATTCTTGGAATGGCAATAACGTAACTGTTGATATCTGGTTGTATCAATCCGGCATCTACCAACTTAGACGACCACCCTTCGAGTTCGTAGAGATCGGAAGTGCTTACATTAAATCGGTACTCCGTCTTTACGTTCTCCATTTCTTTCATCCGATCAAACAAAATGTCTCTGAGGAGTGAGCACAAGTACTCTCCACCAATGTCGTTGTTCATTGACAAGAATAGTTCTTTGAGAATGGCCTCTCCAAAGGGGTAGTACTTACTAAGCCACAAATCAAATCGTGAAACAAGTGACGGATCAGATTGTACGTTCAGTGCATGAAGATCGATTTGTGTGATTCCAAGAACGTTGAAGAGCTCTTTCAGGGTCAGACTGTCGTACTTCACGCCTTTCACTTCTTTCTTCTTCACAACAACTCTGTCTGGTTCTTCCTGCAATTTTTGTTTAATAATTTCAAGTAAATCTGTGGGGTGGAACGCTCTATTGGCATGCACGTGTGTGTCCACTTTAATTGTCTGGTCAAAATCAGTCTTCAAATCAGTTTGTTCGTTCGCTTCGATCTTTTCATTGAGTAGGTGGTACAACTGGAATAACTCGCTTCTGACGTGCAACTGTCTAAAACAGAACGATCGAGCCGGTCCACTTTGATAGAATTTAGTCAATGCCTTGTAGTCTCCAAAAAATTGCTCGTCGTCAACAATGTCAAACGACTTCTTACAGTTGAGTTGCAGCAGCGAATGATAAATATGGTGGTGTGTCTCTCTGAAACACTTCGCACAAAATCGCGTCTTGCACTCTTGGCAGTACACAACAGCCAAGTGGTACTTGTCTTTCTCACAAAGTGCTTCTTCAGTGTAAATATTGAAAACACCACCATCAAACGCAGCGACTTGTGTTGGTCTTGAATTGGGATGGAAAAGTCCCTTCCGAGCACTTCTGATTCTTGAGCAGTACGTTCGGTACTTTTGTCGCACATCGAGCCAAAACTCCAACTTCCGTATCACTTCAACATCTTCTTGGGTACCTTTGTCTGGGTACGTCACATTGATTTTAGAATACGGAATGTCTGCAAACAGTCGACTCTTCTTCAAACAACCTTCATTTGAAAGCGCGTCGATGTACTCCTTTTCTATTTGTAAACAGTTATCTCTGTAATTCTTTCTGATCAACGTAAGTCGCGTTTTATCAGAATTCTCCTTCGAAAAGTTCTTGAAGTGTGGTCCTAACATGACCTCCTTCTCTTCTTCTGTGAACCCAGACTGCAACACACTGTTGTATGCTATTTCAGCCAAATCCCCCGTGACGTAATTCCACGTCTGTTGTGCAATTGCATACTCTTCCATTAAAGGCGTTTGTGTCCTGTGAAATTGTAACGGATCATCCGAAGACAGAGAAACGTTCAAACCACACTTGAAGAAGGTGTCAAACGGGCTTTTGTCGTATGGCAAGAACAAGTTGTGATTACTCAACGGCGACACCGCAAGGCCGATTTGAGTCAAGTAATACAGATACTCCAAAACGGGGCTTACAACAAGTCGAATGCCGTGGTTAATTCCTCTCGCTGTCAAATAAGCCGATGCCAAATGGTGGACATGGCCCGACTCTCCACAATGCGGCCTTAAATCGAAAGTGTTCATTCCTCTTGTAGTTCTGTACGAATTCAAAACAGCGATATTTGCGTACGTGTAGTACATATAATAGAAGTACGGCGGGTTTTCACTTTTGTTCCAAAGTTCCGCGGACGGCAAATTTCCAACAGTCTGTTCCAAAGCACTCTCATCATCCACAGAATCAAATCCAGACACACTTTCAAGGAACTTCGACAGCACTGGATACTTCTCCGGGTTTTTTGTTGCTTCGAAAAGGGGTTTGAAGAGATTGTCAATGTAATTCTCGAAGGTGAAGTTCTCCTTCTTCCCTCTGCACACGTGGAAGATTCGAGGGAATTGTATCATCCATCGATTCTGTGGGTGAGAGACATGCCACTTATCCACCCACTCCGCAAGGTTCTCCCACTCGTCCATAGATCTTCCATAGATGCTCAGTCGTAATTCCAGTCTCACTGGTGTGTTGTTCAGTTGGTCGAAAACAAGATGAATCAACTCAGAAAAGTACTTCCCACCCATGTAATTCTCACACTTCAAGAAGACGGTCCTAAGCAAGTCCTCACCACCAATTTTGTAACTGGCGTTGAAGAGATCAAACCGATTGAAGAAGTCTGTTCCCGCTCTCACGCCTAATTGGTTCAACGTAAACTCCTCCAAGTTCACACCAAGACGTTTGCACATTTGGTCCAATGTCTCGAGCTTCTTCTCTCCACTTTCTGTAGTGACATACCCGACCACTTCATCTTTACTCGTCGTGTTCTTTTCATGGAGAAAATCTAAAAGCTGTGACTCGGTCATACACGCTGCCGCGTGTATGTGTGTGTCGACTTTGGCGATGGTGTGGATATCCTCCGAGCTGGTCAGAGTCTTTGACTTTTGTGAGTTGAGTAAGTAATGTAATTTGAACTTCCTGTCCAACTCACTCAGACGTTTCTCGGCTAGACTTTTGACGGCTCGGTGTTCGCAACAGTCCAAAAGTGCTTTATAATCCTTCAAATAGTCTTCGTAACCAACGGGATGAGACACACCCGTCAACGAGACTTCAAAAACGCCTTTGTGAATTGATATCGTCGATGTAGTGTCGGGAGTTATCACTTGTGAGTGTTCGTGGTGTAGTGGATAAACCTCTTTATCTCCGATGTACATATATTTGTTTCGAAGAGCAAGCACTTTACGAATCTCAATGGAAGCTGCTTGTTCCTCGGAAGTCACTGATGAGAGTGCACGAGTGATTGTGAAATATGAGTAATCTTTAAAAAAATCTTGTGAGATACTACTCATCCTCTCTTGACGGATCTGAAAAGTTTTTTTTCAATTAGAATTTATTAAATATAAAATTTGAATTAAATTATTTAATTTATGATTGTTTAAATGTTGTTGTTTTTATAAACTAATACAAAATTATTAATTATGCTATGATAAATAATAATTTAGTTTATTGTTTAATTATTACATTTTTATTAATAATTATTAAGATAATAAACAATTCTATTTGATCTATAATTTTAAATGATTTATTTATTAACATTAATATTCTAATAATTTTTTAAGAATATAATTATATTTATAATTTTAAATATTTAAAAATAATCAAGTTAAAATACTATGACTTAATTGGTTTTTTAAACAGCAAAAGAATAAATGTAGAACTAACTTAATTATTTAATAAACTAATGAATTAACAATTTTTAATTATAATCTATTAATACATCAAGTCCGACTTCTTTGCAAGTATTTCTTTATTAAGAAAGTCGAAAAAAGATAATTGAAAAAGGAAAGATTGAAACGATGAGTGAAGCCACACAAGACTATTTACAATTTAAAGAAAGTATAATAAAAGACTTCGAAACTATCAAAGCGGAGCAGAACAATTTACGATGTGATGTGAATAATAAAGTGAGTCAGTCTGATTTGAATTATTTAAATTTAATGAGTGCTTTAGAAGACTTGAAAAAAGAGGTGAATGGTCGTCTTCGCATCCTCGAGACTTCCCATTCTTTGTCCAAGGAAGTGAAAAGTCCCACCTTACCAACTTCCCGTAGTTATTCGACTCCAACAACAAAACCAAAAATTGATGAGTACATTTCTATGTCACAAGAAGTCGAAGACTTGAAAAGGAAATTCGAGACGTTTGAAGCGACAAAAGTGACACAAGACGATCTTCAAAAGCTCGAAGGGAGAATGGAAGAACACTTTATGCCTGTGAACGCATACAACGAACTTGCAACCATCAAAGCGGAACTTCAAAATAAAGAGGACAAGAAGTCGAGTGTTGTGTCTCCTCGTGTTGAGACCAAATTTGATATGAGCGAGGTGAATCAATGCATTCAAGCAACAGAAAAAGTGATGAAAAAGAAGTATCGACAAAGTTTTACATTGACCACCTTAGCAATTGGAAATGTCGAAACGCAGCTTATGTCTCTTCGGAAGGTTGTCAGACAATTTGAAGAAGTCAATAAGAAGAGCATTGCATTTTCAGAACAGTTCATGAAGAGTCTTCCACTCCTTTGGAAGAACATATACAGAAACAATTTGGGTCTTTGTGAAAGACCATCATTCTATCAAGAAATGTCGGAGTGGACTGGACTCGATGGTGTCGATGTGCTTGCCACATACTTTGGAGACAGAAGTGGTATACCACATTCATTCATCGACATGTTAAAAGGGAAGAAGAATATAATGTTTATAATAAAGACAACGGAAAAGGAAGTCTTTGGGTCGTTTAACTCGGAGACTATTTTAGAGACTAAGAATAAAGCTAAAGAGTCTAAAATAGGGGTTGGGTTTGATGAAAAGCATTTCATCTTCACGTTATCACCAACTAAAACTCTCGCAAAAAGATTCAAGACAACTGGGGGAACGGAGACATTGGAATTGTTTGATTTAAAGTCCGAGAATGTGTTCTCTGTAGGAAACGCCTTCATTATTAAAAAGACGGGAGACATCGTTTACTCTTTAGGCATCACTCAGTTCTTCGATGGAATCAATGACGAGACCTTTTATAAGCAAAATGAAAGGAAAGTAGAGTCCATTTCCATCGTCTCGTGGTTCTAAAAATACAAGCTCAAAACTATAATTTAATAATTACTTAATTATATTACTATAGTTTTATTTATAAATAATTATATAATTCAGATATTATACTAATACTATATTTGAATTGAAGAAATGGATCAAACATCTACGATCAATTTAGAGTGCGTTTGCAAGAGAAAGGAACTGTTCGTAGGTCACATCGTCGTCTCCGAATTGTTTAAAAAGCTTCTCTAATTTTGATCTGAGTGGAGTAATACTTTTGAGTGACTTAAAACGATCCATTTCGTCGAATTCAATAACACCATCGTTGTCATAGTCTATTAATTTAAAGAACGCTTTAAAAAGCATCTCTTTAGTAAGTCTTCCATTTTCTGGGAGGTCTTTGAGAACGTCCAAAAATGGAATGATTTCTTCAAGACTGATTTCATTGTCTTTATCTTTGTCAAGTAACTCAAGAACAATTGCAGAGCATCCAGCGATTTCCACACCATTTGGGTATAAGCTTTCTAACATAAATGATATCTCAGAAGAGTCCAATTTACCATTTCCTGTTTTGTCGAAAGAATGGAACACCTCGTGGTAAATGTCTGTTTTGTACTCGTTGTAAATTTCAGTCTTCACCAAACTCTTTAAAAAGTCGTTTTTGGAAACAGCTTCTTTTGTTTGTAAGTTGTTAGCATACTCTTCCAAAGAAGACAAATGTTTTTTAAGTGTCTTGTTCTTCTTACCAATTTTAAGGAGAGCGGCAGTGATTTCTTCCTCGGAAATCATGCCTGAAAGATCTGCATCTATTGCTACAAATAGTGCTTGGATCTCTGTGATGAAACAAAAGTCTGGGTTCTTGTTGAGAGGAACTTCAAAACACTTTGTGAAATGACAAAATTCGGTGAAGTCCAAGTACCCATCATTGTCGACATCACATAAGTCGAAAATAATGTAACACATACTTGATTCTATCAATGGCATAATTTCATCATGGGGTGGCATCGGAGTGATGTTGTAGACACGAGCATAAATACTTGGAAGAACATCTTCTGGAGACAACTTTTTGCGGCCAGTTTTGTCGTTATCACAAAAGACAGCCCATTGTAACACACTCATCGTTTAATTATTGAGATTGAAGGATTGATTTCTTTGGTAAGTGATTGTAATGATATGGGATGTGGACTTTTTTGTTACCAATTTATCATTTATGTGTATTATGTTTTTTAATTATTAATATATTTTTATGTTTTAATTGGTTTCTTTTTTAATCCAACTACGTGTATACCATTAATTCAATTATCCAAAGAGGTTTTCTTCAAAAAAATATTTTTTTTTGAATTTTGATTGTTTTTTTTTATGTATTCATATTTATTATAATAATACACAATTGAAAAACTGACGGTATTATTAATCACATTTATAAATACAACTATATTTTATAACAAAAATGTAATAAAATATAGTTAAAAACAACATTTTTGCTCAACTTTGTTAATATTGTTCCAAAAAGTTCTTTCTTTTGAAATAATAAATACTATATTTCAATTGTTTTTTTATTATATATAGTTTCCCTGTATTTTTGCCCCTTTAAGCCAGTCATAATTTTTTTCATTTATTGCTATTATATTAAAAAAATAATAATAATGAAACTATTTTTGTTTAGATAATAAATATAAAAATATTTCTAAATATTTAAGAATATTATTTAAAAAAAACAACTTATAATTAAATTTAAATTTCTTATTAATAAACTATAACAAAATTGATTTTTTCAAAAAAAAAAGTGCTTAAAAAGCGGCAAAAACACTAAAAATCCAAATTTTTTTTACTCGAAACAAAAAACACATGAATTATTCGTAAAACAGCGGACCGATTTTTAGTATTCCAAAACAGTTTACAGACATATCCCTCACCACTTTAATTTATTCACTCAACACATCTGCGTCATTTCTATTTAAACTCCATATTAATTCCATTCCACACAATCAAATTATGAGTGTTCAACTTCGAGAAAACACCGATTTCACAATATTTAATGTGACACCTGACCCAACTGAAGTTACTCAGTGTAGTACAACTGATGAGTACAAAGGCTCCCTCAGTCTTCCGAAATTATATCGCTTTTCAGACACATTAGACCTTCTTTTGTTATTCGGAGGTATTATTGGCGATGTAGCGAATGGTATAATGTTTCCTATAGTCATCTTATTAGTCGGTAATGTTGTAGATACGATGAACCCATATAGCCAAGACACTTCTCAACTTCTTTATTTAACTTTAGAACAACAACATGCATTGAACACAGTCATCATTTCAAAACTTGAAGATGAGTTGATGAAAATTGTACGTCAACTTGCTTGGATTGGTCTTGGTAATTTCCTTGGTGGTATTCTTAAAACGATATGCTTCAATATCTTATCCACTAGACAAGGAATCAAAATCAGAAAATTGTATTTCAAGACTCTTTTAAGACAAGACGCAGCTTGGTACGACGCACACGAACTTGGAGAATTGGCTGCACGAGTCGGGTCTGATGTTAAATTGATAGAAGAGGGTATTGGAAACAAAGTAGGGCAGTTACTTAATACAGTCGCTACGTTTATAACGGGATATACAATCGCGTTGGTCAAGTGTTGGGATTTGGCACTTGTCGTCATCTCGGCACTTCCCTTCATGTTCCTTGCCCTCTTTGCTATTGGTAAAACCACTGCGTATTCAAATGGAAAACAACAAGTCTTCTATGGGAAAGCTGCTGCCATTGCCGAGTCTACCATTGGCAATATTCGAACAGTTCAGTCTCTTTCACAAGAGGAAGCCTTTGGAAAAAGCTATAAAGAAAACATTCAAAGAACTACTAAGTACAATGCGATATCGAGTATTGTCAATGGAATTGGGTTTGGTGTTGTCTTCATGTGTCTTTTTGGCTTCAATGCTTTAGGGTGTTACTATGGGTTCTTAGTGATGCAAGGAAAAGGGGGGAGTTCAAATACATCTTCTGGGACTATTTTAACTGTATTCTTGGCTATGGTATTGTCCTCGCAATCACTCTCTATGGTAGCTGTTCCAATTGGGTGTGTGTCGACTGCAAAGTCAATTGCGTATCGAATTTACCAAATCATTGACAGAATCCCCGACGTCGATGTACTCAATACTTCCGGGAAAGTGCCAGAAGTATGTCTTGGAAATATAGAGTTCAGTGACGTACAATTTAGCTACCCAACAAGACGTGAAAAACCCATTTTGAAAGGTCTTGATTTGAAGATAGCTGGAGGAGAGACTGTTGCATTGGTAGGATCCTCGGGATGTGGCAAAAGTACATGTCTTCAATTGGTTCAAAGGATGTATGATGTGACAGGAGGACAGGTGGTATTGGATGGAGTGTGTATTAAAGATTTACAACTCAAATGGCTGAGGAGCCAAATTGGGGTTGTTGGACAAGAGCCTGTGTTGTTTAGTGGAACAATCAAAGACAACATTTTACTTGGTGCACAAGAACAACAAAACGTGAGTGAAGATGATATAATTAGAGTTGCTAAAATGGCGAATGCATATGATTTTGTGATGGACTTGCCTGACAAATTTGACACTTTAGTAGGTGAGAGAGGGGGACAGTTATCAGGTGGGCAGAAACAGCGGATAGCGATAGCACGAGCACTGATTAGAAACCCAAAAATATTGTTGCTTGATGAAGCAACAAGTGCACTCGACACACAATCGGAAAAAGTTGTTCAAGACGCTCTTGAAAAGGCAGCTAATGGGAGAACTACTATCATCGTCGCTCACAGACTGTCTACTATCAAAAATGCGAATAAAATAATGGTGATGCACCAAGGAGAAGTCATAGAAAGTGGAACACATCAGGATTTAATGGAGTTGAAAGGGGAGTATTACACTTTAGTTAAACGGCAAACCATTGAAGAGAAGGTCGACCAAGATAACGCCCATAAAAATGTCGAGCCTGGGACGATTGCGATTGACCAACCCCTGAAAGTTGAGAATGAGAATGAAGAAGATAGTGAAGGTGTTAAAAAAGAGGAAGACTTTGTTGAATATGAAAAGAAGGAAGCGAAGAAGTCCACACGATTTCTGTTGCCAAGGTACATTCTCAATAACCTTCGTCATGAACACATTGGTATTTTGATCGGTGCAATAGGGTCAATGGGTGTAGGTGTGTTATTCCCCCTCTTTGCATATCAATTTGTATGTTTGACGAGTGTGTTTTCTCAAATTACAACACCAGAATCGGTGACTGAGGATATTAAAGTCGAGGTGCGTGATGGGTGTTTAAAGTTATTAGGGATAGCATTTGCTGGATTTGTTTCCAATTTCATGTCTTTAAGTAGTTTTGGTATTACAAGTAATAGTTTTATGGGTCGACTTCGCGTGAAGATGTTCGACTCCATCTTATCACAAGAGATAGGGTTTTTCGATCGAAAGGAGAATATGGTAGGGTTACTGACCACACGACTGTCTTCAGAAGTCACCACAGTCAAAGGAATCTCTGCAGAACGGATTGGAAATGTGTTGCAAGTGTTATCCACTGTGGTGTGTGGTCTATCTCTATCGTTATCGTTTGACTATCGGATCACATTGTGTATCATGTGCCTTGCACCTTTTGGTGTTGGGAGTTTTATATTAGACGCAAAACTGAATAAAAGTGCTGCGTCTCCAATGGAAAAGGCTTATGCAGCTTCTGGGAACACATTAGTAGAAGCAGTTGAAGCGATGAAGACCGTTCAAAGTCTTGGCAAGGAAGTCCACTTCTTTGAAACGTTTCAACAACAACTCAAGAAACCTATCAAGACACTTGTGTATATGACACCTTTGATGGCATTGGTCTGTGCTATTCCAGTAGCTATGCCATTTTTTGGCCAGGCATTTGGGTGGAGTGTTTCAATCACCTTTTTGAAGAAAGACACATCCACTAATGTCCCAACGTTGCAGTTTATAAGAAACTTCCTTGGCAATTACATTGATATTCTAAAGGCAATGGTAAGTATGTTGACAGTGTTAAAGGGTGTTATTGATATTGGTAGTATAATGCCAGATGTTGGAAAAGCTTTGAAATGTGCTTCCAATGTTGAGCAAATAACGAAGAGAACTCCTCACATTGATTGTAAAAAGGGTGGAGTGAAGAGGGAGAACATTGAAGGAAATATCGAATTTAGAGACGTATTTTTTAGATACCCCACTCGGTTGCAAAATCCAGTTTTGAAGGGCGTGTCATTCAAAGCAAATCAAGGGAAGACGGTCGCTTTTGTGGGAGCGTCAGGAAGCGGGAAAAGCACTGGGATTCAACTTTTGGAACGATTTTATGACCCCACAAAGGGGTGTGTGACTATTGATGACATCGACGTTACACAACTTGACGTCGAGTTTCTGAGGAGCCAAATTGGGCTCGTTGGACAAGAGCCTGTGTTGTTTAGTGGAAGTGTCATGGAAAATATCATGAGAGGAGTTCCAAGAGGGATGGAAGTAAGTTGTGAAGATGTGTACCGCGTCGCTAAAATGGCGAATGCACATGACTTTATCAGTGCTATGCCTGAGGGGTATAATACTGAAGTGGGTGAGAGAGGGGGACAGTTATCAGGTGGGCAGAAACAGCGGATAGCGATAGCACGAGCACTGATTAGAAACCCAAAAATATTGTTGCTTGATGAAGCAACAAGTGCACTCGACACACAATCGGAAAAAGTTGTTCAAGACGCTCTTGAAAAGGCAGCTAATGGGAGAACTACTATCATCGTCGCTCACAGACTGTCTACTATTGTGAATGCAGATGAAATATTGGTAATTGTAAAAGGAAAAGTTGTCGAAAAGGGAACACATCAAGAGCTTTTGAAACAAAAAGGATTTTATTATTCCTTGGCACAACAGCAACTTGCTTGAAAACTTAATTAGAATGTTTTTTTAAAACTTATTTTTAATTGTTGATAAAACAATTAAAAACTAATATAAAATAGGTAAAAGTTATTTAAAGATTTTAGTAATATTTTTTAATATTTTCAAATAATAAAATTATTTGTTTAGTATTTAATTTTGAAATAAACAAGGAGATATAACAAAATATTGAACGATGTATAACAAATTAATAACAAAATGATATGAATAAGAATGTAGAGTCTTTCAACAGTGCGA